TTTAACATGCACAAAATCTATAGAACACACTAAAGGACAGGGGGGAAAAAACCCTAAAAGCATAATATGGCTTCTTTACGTCTTGTGATTTTTTTCAAATTTTAAATACTTAATAGAAATTTGTAGATTTTGAGTCAACTTTGATAAAATAAAATTACCTAACAATAGCAACTGTAGTAATAAAGAAACTTTTAGCTTGCTTCTTTTTGAATCTCCCACAGACATATTGATAACACACACACAAACACACACACGCTAAACAAAGGCTGTGTTTCTGTCCCAGTGGACCTTCACTAAATAGTGCAATTCAGAGGAAAAACGCCAACAAATGCTGAGTCAGCAAAACTCTGCCTCCTCGCCATCAACAGCAGGTCCATATTTCACCACCAACTGCTGTGTGTATTACGCATAAGCACACACATACACACTAAAACGCCAAGGGAAAGAGTTCATACGTTTTCTTTAATTAAAAGAGAAAGTGACAGCTAAATGGTGCGGGCTGCTATAAATCTGTGTGCCTGGCTGCAGGATGCTGGTGGGAACTTACTCGTTTCTCTCAAAGACATAGCGTAATTTGATGATGTCACCTTTGGGCTTCTGGAAACAACATTTTTTAACAGATAAATAAGGAAAATTATCGTTAGTTGAAGCCCTTTTCAATTAAATATCAAAACTGCCATAAACACACTTTCTTTAATTTGACAAAATGACATGAACGAGTTATCTCTGGAACTCTCAACCACGTATCCTGGTCTTCGTCATCAGCAGATGGAAGTTGGCTCAGTTACCATCATATAAAGGGACGTAGGTCACGTGACAAGTGAACTACACCCAGGAGGGCCACCAAGAGGAGGCAGATTGCAACTAACTGAACACCACTCGCGTCTGTGTTTGACGACCTCAGAATGAGAACAAGCGTGTTGGAGAAACTACAGTGGCAACAAAACTTGTAAAAAAAAATGCGAAAGGCGCTATCTAGAGCCAGTGTGTGGTTTGTCCCTAATCAGCTACTGTAGAAACATGGTGATTATAAACTAAGAAAACATACAAATGAATATTATAGAACATTTCTGACCATTTCTGATCCTCCTAAAAGTTACACACTGGACCTTTAAGTTAAGTTAAGATGAACAGTTTCAGCACTCATTGTGACCCATGTTACAGAAAGACCCTGAATATGTATAAACATGAAGTATGTTCAATGACATTTTGCAGTAACATGGAAGTGAAACATCAGTCCACTAAAGTCTGTCCATTTAATGACACGGCACACCCACAGAGGCAGTGAGAAACTGCAGGGCAACTCTGAGGGAGGTTATGCTCCGTGTTGTTAATATCCCTGCTTATGTATCACAGGAGTGCACACGTTCTCTCATAAATCCACCAAGTCTAGCTTCAAGCCAATTCATCAAATAAGCAGAGAGGAGCACAATATGAAAGGGAATTAAAGCAGAAACACAGAGCCCAGAGGACACAAAACACACAACCAGTCATGTGACACTTTGTAAATTGCAGGCAGTGGCGTGTTGGCAGGCAGTGAAAAGAAGCTGTGAAATTATTTTGCAGTTAGTACAACTGTTCAGTCCTGTGAAGCAAGTCCTTTTCACCTGCGCCAACACATCAATATTGATTTTGTTTTGTTTGTTTTCACCTTTAATCTGCGAGATTAGTCCTTTATCTTCTGCGCTAAAGACTCGCTGCTCCAGTGTTTTCCCACAGATTACTTGTCGATCTCACATGGCAGCTTTTTTTTCTGGGATGTTCCCGAAATATTTTTGATAAAGTACACATTTATTTCTCAGGAAAGACCTGCCAGCCTTTTCATAACCTGTTGAATCATTGTTACATCAGTCAGTGATAAAGAAGAAAACAGATATTCATGTATAATGAAATGTCACAGATTGGATCGGATACTTTGATGTGCTCTCCAGGAGGTTTTTACAGCTTAAACTACAAGTCACCTCTCTTATAAATATGTTTCTATGAGGTTAGTCTTATTTATATGCCAAAAACTACAGTCTCCTGCAAGTGTGGGTGCAATTTACCTCCTAATTAGGATCATCACACAAATACAGAGTTGTATAGACGTGGTTGAGGTGATGAGTGTGCTGCTGCAGCACGTACACTGTGTGTTCTGTGTTCCTTTATAGCCAAGACTGTCACACCACAAACGTAGACCGTGCTGCAGTGTTTATACAGATTTGATTTATTATGTGTTTGTCCTTTTTATACATCAGCTCCAAACCAGAGCGACAGTGCTTCGTAATCACTCAAACTGGGGGGAAAAAAACAGGCTCTTCAGCATTCAGGGACAAAGAGAAGACACAGCATTAATGTCTTTGACCTCATCACACCGTCAGAATATCCACTCAGTGAATTTAGCTTTCTCTTTTTATGTCTGTGGTTACATGAATATTTCCAGAGTCTACCTCCACTCAGAAATCAGCTTCTCTTCTTGTTCCTACAGCTGGATGTTTTGCTGAAAGTGGAAAGTTTCTCTGTGCTCACTGAAAATCTGATTTTAAGGGGCGGGGCCTACGAGCATGATTTGTGACACAAGTAGTCTGGAAGTCAATTCGGTCCAGTATTCAAATTATACAAGTGCACCAGTGCACATACACTGAGAATGGACTTTTGCATATTCGTAGATTGTGGAATTTTTAATGAGTTAGAAGGAGCAGATGAGTGCTTAAGCATTTTAATGTGGAAATTAAACTTATTTTGTGGAAAAAAACATATCAGACACACATTATTATTCCAACTATTGGTATATAAGTCTTTATACATGGGGATATACTGGAGGGGATCTTAAACTTTCTTTAAAACTTTTTTGTCTAAACTCTCCACTTATTCAGCACTCTTCCTCTAAATACCTCTTTGCCAACATATGTTTTTTGGCTTCAAACAAGAGGGCACCGTCAGCGCAACCCAGAAGTAATTTTTAAAATGGTGCTTTAGAAACCTCTGGCTAATGTCCCAGACACCAGTTTTCTTTTAAAATTTACGGTTGTTTGCAGCAAAGAAAATGTTAATTGGTTGGGTCAAAGTTCAAAAAAGAGGAGAGAAAAACACCTGTGTAGCAGATGTCTAAATCTCAACTTGCTTATAATATAAATTGGCTACTTTTCTACTGGCTGTTTGACTGGTGAAGTGGTGAACTGTTCCTTTAATCAATCCTGATGATGTGCCCTTGAGCAGGACACAGAACAACTACCAACTGCAGACTATCCTGCCTGGAAATTGAATCTCCTTCAGGTTCATACCGCCTTAAAAACAAGCTAAACGTAACATCAGTGGCACTTTTTGTAGCTATGCATATTTGCATATTTATAACTATAAATCCCATTTGTGTGAAGGTTCATTTCTATAGATTATTATGATTGAGATTTTGGTATGGACAGCACTCTTCATATTAGGGCTGCAACAACAGTTACTGTCATTATCGATCAGTCTGTCAATCAGTTTTTTAATCAGTCTATAAAATGTAAAAAATATTGACATATGGCCATCATAACTGAACAAAGCCCAAAGAAAATCCCCTGTTTAACAACGGTTCAAAAAAGCCGGAAGTTTTTAAATTACAACTTAAACAAGTAAGCTATTATCAACAGATGACTTTTTTGTTGATTGACAATCAATTAATGGACCAGTCCTACAAATAATACTGAGCTGAGCTCTGCGATAACTAAAGGCTGTGACAGGTAGTGTGGCTTTCATTTGTTCATAAACACAAGAGATCTGACTGCCATTGGACTCCATAAAGTAGCTCCGTGGGACCTGATGCTGCCCTCCAAACACTGCGTCGAGGATACAGAAGCCAGCTCTGTGATGCTCTGTCAATATGCCAATAAATATCAACAACGTCCACTTCCTGTTGCAGTGCCAGTGTCAATCTCTGTCGTGCCCTCACCCAGAGAAAAACAAAGCAAATCACTCCGTTTGGTCAGAGCTTTTAGCAAATCTAAATGTGTCCTGTACCCTCTGGAGAGCATGACTAATAGAATCAAAAAAAAGAGCTGCTGGTGAATTAAACTGAATTTCATTCTTAATTAAATCATCCCTGCACCCTGTTGATGAACACAGCCCCAGACTATGACAGACGGGCGTCCCAGGCCTGATCTCTGAAGTTACATCTTCACATATGTCACAAATCCAACTTTAGAAGATGGACATGTTGCCTGTGAGTGAACCAAGCATGATGCTGGACATTATTAACAGCTCACTGGAATGAAAAAGTTGCAGTTGTAAAGTCAGTCCTCCTGGATGCTCTGAGCTCACAGCATCACATTTCAGTCTTCGATCTCAGGAGGAGGAGAGATGTTTGTGTTCACACAGTCTGACTGAAATGTCTGCAGCCAGTAGAAAAACACACACTCTCCTATTCCACCTTATGCACTGGTTTTCCACAATGGAAGTCTAAATAAGGCCATGTGCTGTTTAATCATGCAGGTTACTGGAGCCTGAACGGGTCTGCATGCTGCATTAGACTTGATTTTCTGCAGCATCTCTGCCACGCTCAAGCACGCACACACTCCTTTTTCTCAGGCACTGCCACTGTAGTCAGTTTCTGTGCTAATAAGTTATCACCCTCTCTCTCTCTCTTTCTCTCTCTCCCCCTCTTCCCCCAATCACACCCCCCTCTCCTCCCTCCCCCCTCCCTGTAGTGCACTCACTTGCTGCACAACTGCGATTGCAGAGAAACACCAGCAAGCAGTGCAGTCTCGGGAGCGAATACACACACACACACACACACACACACACACACACACACACTGAGCGTACACACAAACACACAACAAAGTCTTTCTCTATGACACCCAAACCCGCAAGTACAGTGTAACAAACACACACAAACACACACACACACACACACACACACACACAAGAAAGAGAAACACACACACACACACACACACACACACACACACACACACACACACACACACACACACACACACACACACACACACACACACACACACACACACAAACAAACTCACCAGTTGGGTTCTTGTTTTTCTTGAGGCTCCTGCCACAAAGACACTGCAGCATATGCGATCCTTTGCTGAAAATGTTGTTCCAAATAAACCGCATGGATTTGGCCGAGACGGGGGAGGAGGAGGAAGAGGTGGAGGAAGAGGAGGTGGGGGACGAGAGGCGCTCCGGATGCGGCAGCCTAAAATTCACCCACCGCATGGGGGCTGATCCGCCCCCCTGTTTGCATGCCAGCAGAGCCGGCCAGCTGTTGGGCTCAGTTCGGCGGTGCTTCGGCCCTCCAATCTGCACCATAGACAAGAATAAGAGCAGGAAGCCCGGCTCGTCGCCCGGTTTCTCGCCCGCTTCCTCCAGAAGCCCAGAGACCAGCAGCCGCACGTATTCCGCGTCGACGTCGTCCCCGTGCGGCAGGAAAAGAGCAACCGCTGCGGCGCTTTTCTCCGCGGTCTCCGCCTCCGGCTGCCCCAGCGGCCGGTGGTCCTCAGCGGCGGAGGATGGCTCGCTGCTGCTGCCGCCCGGCCGCCGCGGCGTCAAAAGCTCCCGAGCGCTCCTCTTCAAATGGCGTCGTCTGCCGCGCGGCGCGGGGAGAGGAGCGGCAGCGGCGGACAGGCATGCGGCGGCGCTAGCGTGAAGTCGGCGGTACGCGGCAGCTGTCGGCTTCTGCACAAAAAACCATTGCATATTAGTGGGGATCGCAGGGGTCGGTGCGTCCGTCCGCCCGGGAGGGGAGGAGGAGGGGAGGGGTGCGGATACCGGGTGTCTGTCAGAAAGTCGGTGGCATCCCTGTACCCGAAGGCTACAGCAGGCAAGTACTGCAGCAGGGGGGCTCCTTTCCAAACACACACACACTCACTCAGACACACTCACACACACACGCTAGATGCAGAATCCTATCTTTCCCAGCAGCAGCGCCGGTTCTCCGGTCTCCGGTCAGCGCTGGACCGGGCAGGTGAATCACTGCAGGGAATCTGTGCACTATCCCACTCTGTGCTTTTCTCTTTAAAAAGTCCTTATGAATATTTGATCCGCGTTTCGGCGTCCACTTCTCAATAATCCATAAGCTCCAATGCGCCAAGATACTGCTGCCGCTGCTGCTGTCTGTCTGTCTGTCTGTCTGTCTGTCTCTCTGTCTCTCTGTCTCCTCTTCCTCTCTCCTCCTCCTCCTCCTCCTCCTCTTCCTCACCTTGCTGATGAAAAGAAGCTGCTGGACTGTGGCTCTGCCGCCTCCACTACTCCAGAAACTAGGTGGAGAAGAAGTGGAGGAAGAGGGAGAGCGACTCGTGGTCCTCTCTCTCTCTCTCTCTCTCTCTCTCTCTCTCTCTCTCTCTCTCTCTCTCCTCTGGTGCTTCAGCGTCTTCTTCCTCAGTAGCGCTCGAGACAACCCACGGCCGGTGGGGCGCGAGGAGGTGCACTGACTATCTATACCCAACCAGCAACAAAGTGGGAGCAATTAAACAAAACACCTGTTCCGGTTGGCACTTTCAAAATAAAAATATCGAACTATTAAAATGTTAATTGGGCACCCTTTCTTGTATGTGTGACGATACTACAGCTCTCTTTTTAAAACAGTATTTTCTTATATTTGTTTTTTTTTTTGTTTGTTTGTTTTTCTTACAGCATAGTATATTTTTTCTTACAACATGTTGATTTATTAATTTTATTATTTAAAAGAGCATCCTCATGAATGTTGGCTATAAATAGGCAATATAGCAAATAAATATTAAAGATGTGAAGTAGCCTTAAATTAAAATTTTTATTAAAACTTCTAATCACAGAATAATATGGTGGTTGTAGTATAGAATAGTAGGCTGGGGTGTATAACAGTGGTATTATATGCACTTTCCTCCCAGATAACATTTCCTTATTAGTTATCTATATTTATTAACTTACATTTTCGGGACAAAACAAGTGTTTAATGAAATAAAAAGAATAGACCCCACAAAGTACATCCTACAATTCAATTTGATTGTCAGTTGGCATGGAAATATTACAAACTCTTCAGGCAAGTATGCATAAGTATGACATTCTTATCTTGTGTGTACCTGCAAAATAATTCACACTTTTTTGTGTAAGCAACTTTTTTTAGGTCTTTTTCTTGAGTACAGTCTGCTTTACCCTCGACTTTTGTTCTGAAGGGAATGCTTCCGGTTTGCCTGTGCAGCTTGATGCAGTTACGTAGACACGTGGTTCCCACACCGTCAGTTTCTGGTCTGACTGGATGTGAACCGTAACCGGCAACATTTGGGGAGGGGGCGGCCAGTTGCAGTCACTAATACGGGTACGAGACCACCAATCTTTGTCTCCCTTCACTGCTGTGTTACTAGCGCACCCTCCCTGACAGGCGCCACTCCAAACTCCGTGCAAAAACCAACCGGTTTAATGCCGCCTCTCCTATCGGCAAATGTACACACCTGTTGCTTGACTCCCTTGTATCACTGGGGTCTTCCAGAGAGTTCGGCTGGCACATTATGGTCTACCAATCAGCACTTAATATAAATGGAGTCATCCCTTAGAAGTGCTTGTTTCCTTCGCTCCTTCGTGGTTGAAGAACGGTCAAATAATTGATTCAATTATTAGACTGGAGTTTGGTTGCATTAAGTGCTGTGTAATGTAATGTATACTGAAGAGCCCACAGGGAAGATGAAAGGCCGGACTGGTGCACTCGTAGCGGGTTGAGGCTGAAAATGCTGCAGTGAGCGAGCTGTCGCTGTCCACGGTGCTGAATCCACACAGGCTGATCAAACTCAACACACACACACACGGTTCCCGCGCTTATCAGAGGACAGCTTAATTACCCTGTTCACACGCCTGTGAGGTCTCCAGAGCGTACCCGGGTGTCAGTGACATTTCAGATCGATTCAACAAACAAAAACCACAACGGGGAGCAATAAACTGACGTCACTACTTTGCAGATATAAAGCATCAAAGACACAAACATCTTTTAAAACACACCATCCGTTCTCTAAATAGGATTGTGGCTCATTTGCCTGTCCATCAATGTATGAACCCAAAACAGCAGTTCTACTGAGGGAAGGGGGAAGACTTTTATGTATAAAGTGCCTTTGATGTTTCCAGTATAATAAACTCTCTCTGAGCCGACAGAAATGGAGGTGTGGAGCTGGGAACTTAAGGATGAAATTCAACACACGAAGAAGCCATTTACTCTCAACAATTGCAGGGATTTATATTTTCAGGAGAAATGGTGGCGAGCTACAGTGTCCTAAAACAACACACTATGATCAAAGTCACAACTAGTCATGTAAAAACATTTTTACTGTATTTTGTTGTAGTTTATTTGTCAAAAAAAAGGTAGCAGCTTACAGTATTGATACAGATGTGTTGTATGTAGGTAGAACTGACGCTGGTTAGACTTTTCTGTCAGGTTTGGCCAATCTGGGCTACTGTAGAAACATGGCAGCCTCCATAGAAGAGGACCTGCTCCCCCTGTAGATAAAACAGCTCAAGACATCAACTCTTCTTTTGAGGTGATTATACAAAAGATACATATGAATTTTATATTCCATTTCTGCCAATATATCCTCCTAAATTTTACACACTGGACCTCCAATCAAATCCTCATATTACTACAAAAGATGACCAGATTTTCTTGTAATATAATTTTAATTTAAACCCTATATAATATATATGTTTATAAGTAGTAGACTCTTTAACTGCACTGTAAGGTCTAGGATAAGATCAGATGTTGTTACTGTTTATGTTGCATCTTATATTGTATGCCACTGCACTGGTCAGACTTGCCAGGAAATCTGATGGATCGCTGTATGGCATAAACTGGAAAGAGATCAGGTGCGGTTTTGTTAGTGCAGATGATGAAAAGAGTGAAAGATTAATGGAAAAAATTACTTCCAGCATTATCCTCCTCAGTAAAGCTAAATATGATGAAGAGCTGGTGGCTGGATAAGCCATTACAGCCTCTGTACACTAAAGGTCTATGAGAAATATGGTTTTGAGAAACAAGCTGCATCCACCAGTGTCTTTTGTTCACAGTGGTCATATCAAGCTATCACAGTTAATCTGACGGTGCGGTAGTTCACCTGGAACTAAACAGCCAAATTCAACTGTGTGAATTTCAGCCCAAGATATTACACATTTAAATTCTGCAGTGACACTAATGACCATTTACAGACAAACACTGAACTTCCTGGAACAGACATCACTCTCAGCTGCATTGCAGTGTAAGCAAATGAGTCCAGGATAATGGTCCTCACAAACAGCCACGTCTCCTGCTCATCTAGTCTTGTGTATTGTGACATTTGGATCACAACAAGGACCGCACACACAGATACACACACATAGTCATTACTGCAGGATGAGTGACGCCTGGCAGATTTTTATTTTTTTCACACTCTGTTCACGACTTGTATTGTTTTCAGGAGCTCAAGGCTGCAGCACGGAATTGCTGTCATCACATGGGGCAAAATATCATCTGTGTGCAGAGAGAGCTGCTCCACCTCCGAAAGCACACAGCCACAGCTGCACGTGTGTTTGTCACGCAGAGCAAATACTGCTAGGAAGGGGAAAAATTAAAGGAGGGAGGGTGCAGGGGAAAGAAGGTGTGGGAGGAAGAAGGGTGCAAGAGGAATACAAGAGGAGTGGAAAAAGGAGGGAGCAAAAGACTGAAATCTGAGAGTGAGGTAGAAAAGAGGTGACATTTTATTTCGATAGCCACAGATATAATTTACATGAGAAAGACTCCAAAGCTTCTCAACTCATTTGTATCTGATTGCAGGGGCCTAGCAAAAGTTCAGGGCCCTTGAAAACCACCTTAGGCCCATTTTGTTTCTTTTTTTAAATGTAACCTGTCGCTTCACTTCCAACAGAAACATTTTTACAGGATGTAGAGCAGGTTGTATTTGAAGTCTGATTTGTTTTGTAGGAACAGGACATTTTTAATCTGTGACTAATAGTGGCAGTTTCCCCATAGCATCCCTATAAAAATGACCTGGAGATACCTTAGGAACGGTGGCCCCATATAGCTAAAACTGAGGAAAGGACATTCAACAGTTAAAGTGAATACATAAGTTTTTCATTCAGTGTTTTTCTACAAGAATTTTATTCCTGGCCATGAAAGGCCTTTGAAGGTTTTTCTGTTTGGAAATAAAATCAAAATACTTTTGCAGGTTTGTAATCTTATAATTTTCTTGAAGGTTTCTCGGAAAGAACTATGTAATGTAGAGCTAAATATAAAGAAAAATAAAGACATATAGTTCTGAGACAGAATTTATTTGTGTTTAGTTGCGTTGAGAACTGCTCCGTTTAAATAAAACTGCAGAAAGGGGAGGCGTTTGGGAGTCCTCTGTGTTTCAAAAATCCTGGCTACAGCACTATGAACACTTTTCGACAAGTACTAGATTATGGAACACAACAAAAGTTTCACTGTCATCATTCCACAAGTGAACCAAGTTAAATTATATTCCTCATGGTAAGAGATTTTTTTAATTAGGCAAAGTTTTTGGTACCAATTTAACAGTGTTGTAAAGTGTTTTCCCCTGGATTTAATTAAAGAAGCTAGGGTGTCTGTAGGCAGTACTTCTTGTTATGTCATGCAGTGCTCACACTGTGTTGAAAGTCTTCCATGTCAGCAAGACCCTGTTGAGCTCTGGGAGGAGCAACAGGGCACACCTGCGCTGTCTGGAGTCAACAGGTGAACTCAATCTGCCCTGAATCAGGATTAGTTAGGAGAAGAAGTCAATGCTCTGTTTTCTCTGCCACCAACTAGACCTGTGTTCCTGTTTGATAGATAGATAGATAGATAGATAGATAGATAGATAGATAGATAGATAGATAGATAGATAGATAGATAGATAGATAGATAGATACTTTATTTATCCCAAGTAAAATTCAAGTAACTGATGTATTGTTGTGTATATTACTGTAACTGACTTCATAGCTATGATAGTTTAACTTTGATTATTAGTTAAGATTGTTAAGATGAGTAAATACATGTAACTTATCTCTCATGCCATACTTCTTTCCCTGTTTGTGTAACTATGTCCAATATTTGATGTCCCTAAGCTCCAGCTCTCTTAGTTTACACCTAAAACACTGAATCTAAAGAGCTCTCAGTGTAATACTCTTAATGCCTGTGAGAGCATGTAGTGGACACCAGGGTATTGAGAAGTGGGTTAGCAGTAAGCCTGCTGCTGTATTGATCAGTTGGTTGCAGCTTTGAGAGAAAAGCACAACATGGCCTGTATCCAGGGAATATCATATAACTGCCCTCTAAGCCTCAGAGAAGAGACTGAAACGCCAGTGCTGCGGGACAAAAGCGAAACCCAAATTGGAAATGATTATCCTGATTTGCAAGCCTCCACATTTAATCTGATTCCCTGTGGTACAAAACATGTTTAACAAATGCCAGAAAAGATGATTCACATCAAACCAAGATAAATGTACTGGGATATTTGGACTTGATTCTGATTGGCTCCCTTTCCTTAAGAATAGATGAAATCCTTCCACTCAGGATATTGCAGAATTTAGCAGTAGAAAGCTTTGACTCAGCGTGTTTACCTCATGTGAGCTAGAAAAACAGCTATTGATGGTCAGCCAGAGATTTATTAGATTGACAATCTAATCTCCAGAATTATTTAATGAATACTGTTTTCAGTAAAGTCCAATGTTTGCAAACCATTTCAACCAACATTTTATAACATCATAACATATTAAAACCTAAAGGCTTAAACTCAAATGTTTTGACACTGTATCACTCTAAAAGCATCCCAAATGATGCAGCACATCAAACCGATGTGCCCAGATCTATGTGGCAGTACTCCACCTGCTGGCTGTCAAGAAGAACTACAAGTACACAGGGAGGTGGTGGATTCTGCACTGCAGGATTTATGTGCGTTTACCATTTACCAGTGACATTAATCAAGTAACTTAACAATATGCAACAAAACTAGATGAGAGCTCAAATTAGTGTGTTTTAAATATTAAATAAAACAAAATCAATGTGCTTCTGCTTGTAAGAGGAATGAAATTCACCATAGCAGAAGGAATCATTTAAAAAAAAAAAAAAACGTTTTTGTGAACTGGTTGGAGGTGGGTCAGCATTTGACAATGGTTACATGATATTTGAATCAGGTGCTCCCTTGGTATTAAAGAAATTTGATAAGGTGCAAACTAAATATATAATCTTTAATGTGTGGGATGATCAACTCAAGGTTTGCACAGGTCCGTCTGCGGATCCAGCTTGTAAAAAATTTGGAGAGGGCAATATAGACAGAGGTCATTTCATGACAGTGACTGAAAGGAGAGCTAAACCCTGACCCTACAACCAGCTTGATTGGATTTATCAGACAGGTTCTCTTGTGTTAAATAATGAGAAACTCTATCCCCCAAATGGAAGCACATATGAAGTTGCCTTGACTTTAGCTATCTCAAAATAAAATAGTTGGAAACATAATAAATAATAACAAATCTGATGTCCCTTTTTCCTGATAATCATAACTTATAAGTGATTCTGACTGTGCAAAAATACTGGACAAAATACAAGCCAACTTCTGAACTTTTTTTAAGTTTAAAACCTCTGATTACATCTTTAGAGCAGTTGTTTAACCAATGACCGGAGGGGGGCAGCAATACGCCAATGCATCATCTGCTCTGCCTGAAATACAGGAGACGAAGAAGAGGAACCGACCATACAGGAGGACGCAGTTTAATCAGGCAGCTGTACTGTTGACAACAACCGCCGGGCAAACGATTTCAGTCGGGTAACTTTACACCGTTAGAGTACATACATATTGTAGACCTGGGTGTTTTGCTGGTAGTTATATTGTAATTAAATTTCGCTGTCTGTCTCTCTTTCTGTCCTTTCTCAGTTGACTCGTTGTCATGGAGCGATGCTTTAGGTAGGGAGAGCACAGGAGAGCGCTTAACTAAGCTACTAGCTTCTCTCGTTTACCACAAGCTTCGGTGCCAGATAGCTTGCTGTGGTTAATAAAGGCTGAAATTAATTTTTTTTTGTACAACTGGCTTAAAAGGGGGTCGCAGTTCTGTTTGTTTTTAGCTCGTTGACAGTGTTGTTCGATGTGTTTTGGTTGGCTCAGATGTAGAGGACGCGTCGCCGAACTCCACTCAAAAATTGAGCAATTTAAAAGTTCCTCTGCTTCTCAGCTACAGGACATATCTTAATGTAATTATATATGACTCAACACCTTTTCTTAATCGTTTAGAGCCACGTTAGTACATCTAGAATTTGGTTATCATTTTAACACAACTAGTAGCAGGAGTAGTATTCCAACAACACTGTAAATATTATTGCCCATTACTTACTGGATGGGCATTACGCTGCAATTTGGTCAAACAAAGAGAGTTATATGACTCCAGAGGGGTTAAGCGAACCTGTAGTATATCCCGAATTAAAGAACAGATTTGGTTAAGCAAAGTCATGAGTCATAGTTGCTGGATGGGACATTAAACATTTAGCTATAAACCAGAATGACTTGAATTGGCAGATTTTGTGTAGAATTTGGCCCATTTCAAGGGCAGGCAAATACATGAAGCATAATAAAGCCTTGCTGTAATAGATCAACTGAGCTGCTTGGACTGCATGCCGTGCTTCATTTTCACATTTCACATAAAGTTGAAGACGTTTGTTTCCTCAACCTCTGGTTCTCGCACATGATTTAAGAACACTGGATTCTTTTTTTTTTGCATGTAATTCTGAGTGCATGTGTCCAATCCATCTTCCACTAGCTTGTGAAGCCCAGTCTGTTTTCACTGCCTTGTTCCAATAACTGTCTTTCATCTTGTCCTTTTTTTGAAGTGTCAGCAGGGATGACTCTGCTCCTTGCTCCCCACCTCCTTCAGCATCGCCTCCTTCCCCTCCTCAAGTCCCCCCTTCTCCTCGTCATCCCCCTCCTCTTCCTCCCTCCTCTCCCTCGGCAGCCCTGACTCCTCCTCCCCGACAAGGAAGGCTGAATTGCGCTGGAGCCATGGTGGACGTCAGTAAGTGGCCCCTCTTCTCTCTGCTGAGCACTGAGGAACTGGCCACAGTTCGACAGGCCTGCGTCTTTGGGACCTCTGCTAATGAAGTCATCTACATCACACATGGCAATGAGGTGAGGAGTGTGCAAACACTGCGATATCTTGCCTTTTTTTAAGCTTTTAAAGTATCATTATGTCTCTAAAAGCTATTAGGCTTCCTAATTGAAATATTTGTTTTTTTTAATGGTGTAAGAAGAACATGGGTAATAATATGTCCCTAAGGATAGTATATCCCTAAAACCAACTAGTGATAATCAACGTGAGTGCATGCTGGATGCTGCTCGTGCATTGTTTAACGGAGGTTGTAAACCACCCAGATCTTGATGCATCTTGTCTCAGTTTATTTAGTACATGATTGCCTAAAACATGGCCAGGCTGAATTGTATTTGGAGTGTGAAATAACACCTCTGTTCTTTTTCATAAAGTTTTATTTCTTAAGAGCAGAGGTGAGGTAGTCTGCCTCTGTGATAAAACGCTGCAGGGAAAATTGCTTTCATTCTCCTTACAACTGGATTGTCAGCATACCACTATCACACCACTAATCTTACACAAGTCTGTTATCCTCCATTGTATTTAGTGTGCATCACATTACACCCTCAGAGTTCTCCTGTAGCTTTACTCTAACTGATTTCATGACAGCTCTTGGAAGTTTTTATTTGTTGTACAGTTACTGGTAGCAAACAATGTTTTTAAGCAGACTTTTTATTCTATGTTAAGTTGTGTGTGTGTGTGTGTGTGTGTGTGTGTGTGTGTGTGTGTGTGTGTGTGTGTGTTTTACTGTTTCCCAGGTATTTGGGTTTGGGTTGAACAGCAGTAGCTGCCTTGGCACAGGTGACAGTCTGAGCACCATTGTGCCAAAGAAACTGGACTTCCTGCGGGGGAAAAAGGTAGTCAGCCTGAGCTATGGCAGCGGGCCCCACGTCCTATTGGCTACTGATGGTATGTGATTACTTACTGTGTATCTGCTCCTTTCACCCTTAACCCTGTCAAAAAGTGTCCCTATCTCTTAGATAACAAAGTCAACTTATAGGTTTAAGTTTCTTGAGTAAGAAGTTCTGTTATAACTGTTATATAATAATTTAATGGAAATGCTTCAAAATGTGCAAATGAGCTACTTTTTGTGTTTGCATCAGCTTGGTTAAAGTGATATGTCACCCAAAAGTATTAAGTATGTTATAAAAAATGTTTCAAAATGTCCTTATAAGTGCAGATTCACAAGCCACTGACTCTTCTGATCTCGACCCACTGTGTAATGTTTGTGTGGATTTATTGCAGATGGACAGCTGTTTGCTTGGGGCCACAATGGCTACAGTCAGATGGGGAACGGGACTACCAACCAGGGAATGTCCCCGGTGCTGGTCACCGCCAACCTGCAGAACAAGAAAGTGAGAGAAGTGGCGTGTGGCTCACATCACTCCATGGCCCTCACTCACGATGGAGAGGTAGCTGTTCTTTTAATTTAACTCTACAGTTTCATCGTGATTTACTGATCTCTCTCTCTCTCATCTCTAAATGTACTGTATATATATTCTTTTCTCCATAACAATTGATTAAGCCTTTACTAACATTGTCTTTCAGATGTAACTAGATAGCTTGCAGTTGATGTTGATTAACTTGTTTGTGTCTGTCTGTCTTTTCAACATAGTCAAGCCTAGCACATAGCAACATTCACCAAGGTTCTGACCAATGGCTTGCTCTTCTCTTATTGGAGCACAGAGCAAAAAGGGGCGGGACTTAGGAAGGGTCAATTATTCAATATATTTTCAATAGAGAAAAAAGGATTTGACACTGTGTTTACGATGAATGGGAACAGCATATTTACATATACGAGCATGTTTGTATTTATGTTGTTTTAGGTGGGTCACCCTGACGTAGCCACCTCCTGCTCTGCCAGCGTCAGACTAAGCAGCTTATTTGTAACCCAGAGGAGTTAAAGCTAATCAGGCTGTGCTTGTGGAAAGCAGGGAAGCCTGTTGCCATGTTAAATGTTACTAACTGCACAGTTTTTCCACAGTGTTGTGTGACGATTGCTTTGTCTACTTTGTGTAATTGAGCATCGTCTCCCCTCAGTTTGTGGAGTAGTACACAAAGGAACAGGTCTTTATTGACTTCCTGTTGGGTTTTTCGGGGATGATGTGACAGAACTGACAGAACCTTTCAGTTAAAACACCAATCTGGTGATTTGGGTTCAACTTTGAGTGTGTGTATATTTGTATTTTCATTTGATGCTTGTTGGGAGGTTAAACTTAGTTTTGCCTTTTTAAGGAATAGTTTGATATTTTTTTGCCTACTTGCTGAGCGTGAAATGAGAAGATCGACACCCTTCCTCTATCTAAAGCTGGAGCCAGCAGCTGGTTGGCTTGGCTTAGCGCAAACACTGGAGACAGGTGGGGGGAAACAGCTAGCCTGGCTCTGCCCAAAGGTAACAAAATCCACTCCCCAGATTAGCACCTCTAAAGCTCACTAATTCACACTCTTGGCACTGGTCCGACCAGGAAATAGCCCAACACATAACCCCTCGTAAAAACCACAAATTGTCACCTCTACCCAGTTTTTGTACGGCTTAAACAAGCCTGATATAATGTGTTAATTAGTGAGCTTTGGAGGAGCTTGGAGGTGGATTTGGTACCTGTGAACAGTGATTCTACAGTAGCCCAGAACAGACAAACCAAACACCGGTCGTTTGAGGGGTAATCTGGCAATTTCGCATCCCTCAACTGTGAATAGAAATGAGAAAAGGATTTTAAGACGTTTGTGAGATTAAAGTTCACCGGTTCAAGGTTGCCCATGGAGCTTTTTCTTGCTTTCTTTCCTATAAAACTGAGAGATTTAGCTTTCCTCGCGCCATCAAAATCTGACGGTGTTGCCTCCCTGGTCCTGATCTGCCTCCCCCTGCCCCTCCAGGTCTTTGCATGGGGTTACAATAACTGTGGCCAGATTGGCTCAGGCTCCACAGCAAACCAGCCCTACCCCAGGAAAGTCACCGGCTGCCTGCAGGGCAAGTCTGCAGTCGCCATCACGTGTGGGCAGACCTCCTCCATGGCTGTGATCGACAACGGAGAGGTGAGGATGCCACTGCGTGACATCTCAATGATCCCAGTGAGTGAATCTGAACTTCACGGAGTAAAGAGGATTGTCTTATGTTTATCTAGGTTTATGGCTGGGGCTACAACGGTAATGGACAGCTGGGTATCGGAAACAACGGAAACCAGCTGACACCTTGCCGCCTCACTGCCCTCCAAGGGCTGTGTATTCAACAGGTGAGAGAGCAACTCAATAATGGCCATCACATAATTGCCTATGGGCCTGACTCAGCCATGACTCAAGTGTTCCCTGTTTTCCAGATTGTATCAGGCTACGGCCACTGCCTGGCACTAACAGACGAAGGGCTGCTCTACGCCTGGGGAGCTAACACTTACGGTCAACTGGGAACTGGCAACAAAAGCAACCACCTCAGCCCCGTACAAATCATGGCTGACAAAGAGAGGTATGGGGAGAAGCAGGGGCGTGTGTGCTCAAGGCTCATTTTCATTGCAGTATTTCTTTGTATTTGGAGAAAGGCAGGCTTCTTCCCATCCTGTTAAGACTTCAACTTCCCGTTTCCTGTCCTCATTTCCTCGCTCTGTACCTCAATTTCCGCCCCTGGTCTTAAGTAGTTGTCAGTGGGCAAAAGGAAGTCGTAAACAATGACCAAATCCTGCCACTGCAAAAATACTGTTCATCACTGTCAGTTTTTTTTTTCTCGTTGTGGCTACAGAACACAATATTTACGCATCTCTTATTTAACAGGATTGTAGAGGTCGCAGCGTGCCATTCAACACATACTTCAGCAGCCAAGACCCAAAGCGGGCAGGTATGTATGCAAGTGAACCTTGTCCTACAATGTGTGAATAGATTTATGCATTTCCCGCCTTCAGAGTTTGTACAAGGGTCAGTTTGCTGATTTTGACCTCGGATGATAATCCAGTAAGCGTTCCAGACCATAGTACTAGATTTTAGTTTTTCACATACTGAGTCAGTAATGTTTGCGCCTTAGTCTGTGGCATGTGGTTTTGTCATGCTCTTAATTTGTCACCTCTTTACCCCCCAATTATAACTGGGCCTATCTGTTCTTTGGCCCCTCATCTTGGCTATAATTTCAGTTTGGGGTCATAGTTTGTCCACCACAGAGCAGTTCATTTTTCAGCTGTAAAATCTCCTGCTCATTAAATATCCTGGTCACATTTCCTTAATAACAAAATGTAATGATTTATTGTCCAAAATGTTTATGTAAAACATTTATATCACACTCATAACTCTCAAATATAGACCTCTGTATCAATCTGAAAAATCCAGTATGGCTAGGGCTATATTCTGGTGTATTACTGGACAAGGAAAAGTGCTAAATAGGCCTTTCTTACTGCAGACATTTTGACTTGTTAATAGTAGCAAAGGCTCAGGTGTTACTAATAACATTAACAATGGCTCTCTTCTATTCAAGTGTCCCAGTCAGCCATGGCAGTTAACAATGAGTGACCATGAACATTGACAGGAGCCTGAAACTGAGGAAGCTACATGGCACTCAGCCACCCTTTCCTTTTATTTTAAGGACGGATCCTTACCTCTCCTCTGTCCGTGCCTCTGAGCTGTATCATAAGATGTTTGTGATTGGGATGCTAGTAACCGCGTTCATCCTCCAGGTGTATATGTGGGGTCAGTGTCGGGGTCAGTCCATCGTCATGCCACACCTCACACACTTCATCAACACTGACGACGTCTTCGCCTGCTTCGCCACGCCCTCCGTCATGTGGAGGCTCATGTCTATGGGTAAGAGAGAGAGGGTGTTATTCCTCAGCGGTGTGCTCGTCTTTAACAGAGTTTCTGTTTTAAATACGTTATTAAAACATAAAGTGAATGTTTTCATTTCATGAATTGTTGCATTGTGCTTTTCTTTCTCTAGAGCATGACGACTTCCTGACGGTTGCGGAGGCTCTGAGGAAAGAGTTTGACAGCCCAGAAACAGCCGACCTAAAATTCAGCGTCGAAGGCAAATGCATACACGTTCACAAAGCTGTGCTGAAGATCAGGTGAATGTGCATAAGACATAGATACACAACTCAAAAGTAACAAAAGAAACCAAGCTTCACAAATGTTGTCTATACATGATTATTGGAGATTATCACCAGACATTTGATGCCACTGTCACTGGTTACTTGACACTACTTTTTAACACATCTGTACTATATACAGTATGAATAACGGTCTTTTGTTTGGAGTAGGTGTGAGCATTTCCGGTCCATGTTTCGCTCCCAGTGGACGGAGGATCAGCAGGATGTGATAGAGATCGGCCAGTTCTCTTACCCAGTCTACAGATCCTTCCTGCAGTTCCTCTACACAGACACCGTTGACCTTCCACCTGAGGACGCCATCGGTTAGCACGCATTCAGTTGTAAAACACCACGTTCTTTCATTTGCATGCTTGTCTCTTTCTTTGTATGGTATTAAAACTGCACGTGTGTGTGTGTTCGGCTGCAGGCCTGCTGGACCTGGCCACCTCTTACTGTGAAAACCGCCTGAAACGTCTGTGTCAGCAGATCATCAAGAGAGGAATCACTGTCGAAAACGCCTTCACCCTGCTGTCTGCTGCCATACGATACGACGCCGAGGTACAGTGTGCACACGCGTACTGCACATCACAATACTGTAATTCCAGGGTGAAGGTGTAAATGGTTTATTATGATGGTTCGTCCTACTTGTACAGATTATACTTTACAATAGCAGCTAAAGCCCTATTTGCACGGGACTAGTGTTACCTGGGGACCGCTAGTAATTCTAGTAAAAAACAAATGAGGGGCTGCTGATTGTGTGGAGTGTAGTCTAACTTTTTTATTACTGCAGTCAACAAATTCTCCATAAAGTCAAACCCCTTTCAGATACATCACAGTAGTATTTTTCTTGGCAAGACAATCGAAAGGTTTCCCCTCCGTGTTGATTTAAAGTTCCTTCTGTTGATCACAGAGTAGAGTGACACACAGTGTACACACAGTGAACTACAGGGTTCTAGAAATAGCCCCATACACTGTACTGGCTTGTGTATGTTGCTCCTGCAGCATTGTTTTCTCCAGAGGGATCATGTCAGTGTTGTACTTTATTCTGCTCTGATCTGTTCAGTTACATCACATTATATTCTGTGTATTCCAATCCTTTCTCATAATATTTGTCTTTTTCTAGGACCTGGAAGTGTTTTGTTTCAGGTTCTGCGTAAACCATCTGACTCAGGTGACTCAGACCGGGGCCTTCTGGCAGGTGGACGGAGGAATGCTCAAGGAGTTTATCAGCAAAGCTAGCCGCTGCGGGGCCTTCAAGAACTGAGTGGTACTCTTGTGGGTTTTTTTTTTTTTTTACAAACTATATTCTGACCAAGTGGATGTGGTTGTGCTCCGAGTGTAGCAGCGGGTCACCGCTCCTAAAATATCAGTTCTGATCACATTCCTAAGCCCTGTTTTGAAATGTTTAATAACATATGCTCACAGAGGCACACGTTGACACATACGCAGCATCATTCACAAGATGTCGGACTGGAATTTAAGCTGCATTATCCGTGGATCTGAAATCAGCACTTTGGCCAATTCCTGTGGAGTCACTCGTCAAAGTCCTGACGCCTTTTCCTGTCGCACTACATCGTATTCTTTACATGCTGTATGTATACTTGAATTTTTGTTTGTTTTCTCGGCCAGCGCTTACACATCCTGACACGTCCTCCTTTTACTTCTGGAAAGGTTAATATAGGAGACCAGAAACCTGGAAGGGATAGGAAACTAGTTCAAAGAACAGTCTGTCTTTGTTAGGGAACTGAAAGAGATGTTTTGTTGAAAGAGGTTGGATAACTGACTTGATAACACTGGCCAGGACATTAATACCACTGTACTGAAACACATCCTTGAATTACTGCTGCTTTCCTTTTCTGTCATTTTCAATTTGCATTCTTGATGTTCAGGCAAAAGTAGCTCTTGGAAGTCTTACTGTTTAAGCTATTGAGTCCCATTCAGTGGAGACAGTTGGTCCTATGTGTGGTTATGGGTCACTTGGTTGGTTTTTTAAAATCTTGCTGGTATTTTGTACATTATGGAAGTTCAAAACGATTGTGGGATGTATATTATTTTCCACTTCATGTTTTCTTTCGGTATACTCATTCTGCCTGACTTAAATGTTTTGCTCTAAAGCACTTTAAGAAAGTACAAATGGTTTGGCTTCATATTCAGTAAAACTTTAATATTTTAGTTATCTAATGTGCTATGGAAGGGAAGACTAGACAACTGAGTTAAACAATGTTGCACTCAAGGTTTTACAAAAGCAACAGTAAACATTTCATGCACTGTTACATCACTAGCAGCGTCCTTCCTTTCTTGCAAGTGTAAAAGTTGTAAAGTGTATCCAAGGTAGGTGGTATGTTACAGCAGACGCTTTATATTTAAAGAATAACGTATTTTCCCTATGACACTGGGACCTTTTTAACGAACTGATCCGAGGTGACTGTGTGCATCGGTTTGGCACACGTTTAAAGAAACACACGGGCAACATGGCAAACTCATTAAGACCAAAATGAGTCCTTCTCATCACGTTTTTCTGTAGATGCAGTGAAAATGCACTGAAGAAACTGCAAACTAAAGCAATATGAACACTTTGAAATGCTCTGTAAAAATATGTGAGACGTTTGGTTTTAATATTATGTTTGCTCGGGCTCATGATGACCAAAATACGCCTGCCTGCCTGTCCTAGTTTTTTTCTTTCTGCTGCATCACCAGGCATTGTAAGAAAATGTTAGAGTATATCGAGAGACAAGAGTGTTATTGACCGGGTCAGCTGGCAGCAACACTGGTGAGATCAGTTTCTGTTTCCTCTGTTAGGTTTCTATTTCACGAGGCACTCTGATGCTTGAAAGAACCATTTTAATTGGGTTTGAACTTGGATCTCTGTTTATTATAAAAGCACAGTTTCATTCAGGTTAGAAAATGTTTTTGGTGCGTTGAGGTTAGGTTTCTGTGGCTGTTGATGCTTTAGTGGAATGACGAGCAGGTTTACAGTTTTCTTCTTGTTTTATATAAAAAGCAAACTGGAAAAAATAAGATTGTTTTGCTTACTGTAAGAATATAAAAAAAATATATATATTTTTACTGTGCTTTGTTAAGCTCTTATTTACATTGGACAAGTTGGTTTGAATCCAGCTCATAGCCTAATGGTTTACTTTGAGGTGATCAGCATTACAATTTTTGGATTTGTATGACCTTTTTTTGTTGTGACATGTTATTTTGCTTTTATATTTAGCTATGGGATGACATGTTTCTGTAAAGAAATAAACAACTCCAAGCTCTGCTTGTTTTCATATAATACATATTTTGTACTGAAGTCATCCCTTTATTAATGCATTCTTATTGTGTAAATAGTCCTTGCCACTACATTAGACTTTAATTACGGTATTATGTTTAAATGACTCTCCTCATTGCATTTCATTTTAGGTTTCATACTGAAGTGGCTTTATAGGGTAAAGCAGTAGTTATCTGATTCTATATCACAGTAGTGTGCTGACCCCTAGTGGAACAAATGGGTATTGAATATACTACTTGTCACTACGCCCACTTTGTTGCGTCAGAGGTTATTGCGGAAATAACCCGGAACTGTTAAGCTACAACCCGTTAGCTGCGATAGGAGCAGCGGTAAGGCCGATTCTCTTTCAAAATAAGATATTAACAATAAATGGGCAGATATGGGCATATGAATAAAACCAGACTGCATGGAATAACTTATACCTATTAGAGTTAAGTTAATAAGTGTAGCTTGTTCTCAAGGTCTGCGTTTCACTAAACTGCTAACTCAGAAGCTAACTAACGTTAGCTAACGTTATAAGCTAGAGCTTTAAGTTATGTTAACGTTACTTGTAACGATCGTAAGTGCTCATAGAAAGATAATGTGAAATGTTTACACACAGAAGAAAACACGGGTGTATTCTCTTTCTTTAATGTTGCACATTCTTCTGCAAAGGCAGCTTGTGTTAGTTTATTTCCCAAATAACATATTTGGTTCGTTCAGTCAGGCTTTTGTTTTGAAAGCACAGACCGGAAATAAAATCCTCCAGCTGTCCAGCTTGACACTCTGTCGCAGGTTAATACTAATTCTGGTTGAACTCTTGCCACTTGCTCTTCTGTTATTGGAAGCCGGGACCACATATTGTATCGCTAGCTGACGGTTGAATGGAAGGAAGCAACATACGGAACCGAGCCGATCCGGGCCAGTTGAGGCCAGGTCGAGATACGAAAGACAGCAGCACCCAGACTGACAGCCGAGTACAAGGTGAGCCCGATAGAGAGCTGGCTACATTTCTGTTGCTGTCCTGTCAGAAAACAGCTGATAGTTGATGCAGTGAGACAGATAGCTCTTGGTGTGTGTGTGTGTGTGTGTGTGTGTGTGTGTGTGTGTGTGTGTGTGTGTGTGTGTGTGTGTATATGTTAAGAGTTTAGCAATGCAACCTGATAGGAGCTATGTCTTTTCTAAGAATGTTTATTCCAATAAACATCATGATTGTCAGAGAAAAAGGAAGGAAATTCACAGGATCATGAATGTCCTGCAGAAAATGTCCACCCATGTCCTCCTTTTTTATACAAATATGAACACCACAAGGCAAACAAACAAACAAACAAACAAACATATTTACAGGAAAACGTTTATCTTTTCGCCAAGGTTTAGAGAGAGTGCTTTATTAATGGAAGGAAACTGGGAATCAAACCTTGCCCCTCCTGTCATTCACATGCAGCACCTTTGCTCCAAGGTCCTTTGCAGACATGGGCGAGATTCATCCACTCATTTCTCCTCCAGGTCATGGCCCCAGGTTATCCAAGGTAAACTTGTTTACCCTGTTGAGTTTGTGGATGGAGCTGTTCCCGCCGGAGCAGCCTGAGGAGGATGACCCCAGTCAGGTCGGTGCACACACCAGTTCCTCTACCACACATTCAGCATGCACGGTGAGTTGCAGTAGGCCCTGTACCAGCACACACAATGCATTTTGAATCTGCTGTCTTCCAGGTCCGTGGGATTGGTCTGGTGGTTGTGCGGGACAGTAAGGTGGTGGGACTCCACTGTTCAGGACCTGAGCTCCACGCAGGACAGGCAGCCATCATACAACATGGCGCCAGCCTGGCTGACTGTCACTTGTACTTCTCCAGGAGACCCTGTGCTGCCTGCCTCAAGATGATCATCAACGGTGAGGAGAGAGGGATGGCAGAGGGATGAGTAGACGGATACAAACAGGTTGAGACATTTTAAAGGTCTCAGTGACACGCATCTGCTCACTGTGCCATAAGTTGGACCAGTTCCACGTAGTATTTATAGCCCAGCCTACTTTGCCTATCTCGTTTCTAGATTGCCTGACTGGTTCCAGACATCTAAAGTACAATCTCCAGTTTGTTTGGCAATTGAAAACAGTGACGTGATATTGAATTAATGAAGTGAAACAGAACAACAGCAGTTGAGTCTTATTATGAGGCCTTTTATACAAATACACACGTTTCAATGGGAACACACGTAGAAACGTCTAGTTAATTAAGGTTGTTGTTGACAGTCATTATCATGGTTTGAGAGGAGAGCCTACATACCAGAGGTGGCAAAAGTAAAACACATTCTTTACTCAAGTAGAAGTACACATACCAAAAAAAAAGTACAGGCTCTCAAATGTACTCAAAGTGTAAAAGTTAGAAGTTCTCTCTTTGTTTCTCTGGAGGACATTTCTACGGGTTGTTCACACAGAGTCTCCCTCTCTTGTCTGTTCAGTGCTGTTACGTCTGTCATCCGTGGCGTGTACTGGTCTTGATGTTGGGAAGGCGTTCAAAGATGAAAAATATGAATAATTGATCATTCCCCTCAAATGCATTCAAACTAAAGGGAAAAGGCTGTTTTTAACATCTAAAGTGTAGAGAGTAGAGATATTTGTGTCAAAATGTAGGGAGTAAAAGTACTTGTACTCGAGTAAAGTACAGATAGCTGAAAAAGACAGCTTTTTGTTCTTTGTTACTTCCATCTCTGCTGCATACTACAACAATTTTAACCATTTACATTATTATTAAACAGCATTTGGATCAAGTGTGTTGACCACATTGCATATTGCCTCTTTTACTCCTGGCTCATATATCAGTCAGCTAGGCAGCAGTTGGTAGTAACCTCTGCATTATGAGCACGGACATGTGTTACTTTTGTGGTCTGCATTGCCCCCACAGCTGCACCATCACGCCGAGGCACCAACCCAAACTGTAGTCAGTGCACGTTGTTAAACCCACAGTGTCTCCCCTATGTTTGTAGAGTTCTCAGTCCATCACCATCCTAAATGCTTTTATTAGACTCACTCTGAGGAATTTGTTTGCCATTACTTTTACTTTAATCTGTTTTGAAAGAGGCTGTCTTGGCGAGCAGTGTCTTTGTACCACGTGCAGCGTTTTTATTGTTTTGTGCAAAGTGAACCTCATCCTGATAGTGGCTGTTAACCTAGTGCTGTCACACTGCTGTTAAATAACAATATAATATGATCATACTGACTTTATACAGCTGAACTTTGGATTGGTCCTTCTGACCTCGCGCCTGGCTCCGCCTCCACTCAGAGCAGTTAACAGTAACAGGAAACAAACGCTGATGAAGCTGTTTGCTCTTCTCTCCAGCGGGAGTCAGTCAGATCTCCTTCTGGCCCGGGGACCCCGAGGTCAGCATGCTGAGCTCCACCTCTACAAACCATTCAAACTCCCGCAGCCCACCCGACTGCATCACGGAGGAGGCCGCGCTGGACGCCGTGGCAATCGAGAAGCTCAAGTCCAACAGCCGCCCTCACATCTGCGTGCTGCTGCAGCCGCTGGCGCCCGGCCTGGCGCAGTTCGTTGACGAGACGTCCAGAGAGTGTGATTTCATGGAGAGAGTGACTGACGATGAACCAGGGCTGAACACAGAGGAACTTTTTAACAGGTACCTTTCCAACCTACCTCTGTTGCTGAATCAATAATAAGAAAAATAAGTTTAAGAAGTCACTACAAAGACGAGTCCAGTGACGTCCAGTTGCATGTGAAGACCTGAATGATGCTGTGATCGCTTTCTTGAAGCTTCAGTTTTACGGCTTAGGTTTGGTTTCAGTAGTCAAAGCTTCTGACTCCATTGTCAAGCTTCAAAATCTGTATAAAGTGGGACTGGAGCTCAGTTTTGATCATGCAAGAGTTTTCAGAATCAAAGTGTGGTTGCATATAAACAGGATAAACTCCTCCTGCTTTCCAGAGAGTGGACGAGACACCTGAAGCATTTCTCCAGACAGTTCCTGGTTGAGACGCCTCGGCAGCACCGGTACATTTTGACCCATATGGGTCTGGAGAACTTCTGCGTGGAGCCGTACTTCTCCAACCTGAGGAACAACATGAGGGAGCTGGTGGAGGTTCTCGCCGCAGTGGCTGCTGGGGTGCCACAGCAACAACACGGCTTCTACAGGTTAGAAACACTCACAGCTGTTTTGGGGTTTTTTGTGCACGCCGTCAGCAGATGTTATTTGTTGTTGATTGTGTTGTTCTTTTGAGACAGGGAGCAGCATTCAACGCCCGAGTCATCCCTAGCCAAATCCCCGCCGTCTCCTCGCCACGAGGGACTGTCCCAAGATGTGGCTCGCCATTGCATCATACAAGCCAGGCTGCTGGCTTACAGAACAGGTCTGATTGAGCTCGGTTTTGGCTGGATGTCAGTCCAGCCACTGTTTAGTTTAGATTATGTAACTCTGTTGTTGTCAAACTGCTCCGACCGTATTCTAGCTTCGTTCTATCTGTCCTTTTCAAGTTTTCAAAGGGTGAGGCAACAGATCCGTGCCTGTTGGACATTTTTTGGAATGACAGGCTTAAACAGCGTTCTTGTCAGTTTGCTATTCATCACCAGCTTCTTACAACTCATTTTCATTCCAGAGGACCCTAAAGTGGGAGTGGGTGCTGTTATTTGGGCCAAAGGACAGTCGGTGAGCTCACCTCTCCTTACCTTTTTAATCTCTGGTGCAAAATGACATTATTTCTCTTTTCTGGTTAGGATCTGACGCTCAGCCGACGGCAGAATGGTCAAAACCGATAATCTCAGCCTCGTAGAGACTTGTTCCGCTCAAAATAAGATCAAATGAATCCATTTATGGGTGATTGTATTAATGCATTGGTGTTTTCAGCGTCGGCGGATACAGTGTGCTGTTTCAAGATGATAGCTTTTGACAAATCCCTCCAGTTAGCTTCCATGCTATGATGATGAAAACATACTCTTGACTCATTTAGTCCATGCTAACACCTTCTGTAAGTGCTGTTAGTGTAAGTTAAATACTGTTTGTTACTCTCTAATGTGTTTTACTGATTATATGTTGTAGTAGTGAGAATTAGATATAATTATTTAAAGCAGACGTTGCAGTGGACTCCAACCCTCTCTCTTTCTTATTTTGGTATATTAGTGGATGTAGATGTACCACATTATTAACTGTATCACTGATACTGTTGTCCCAGGCTGGCAGTGATGGAACGGGCTGTCTGTACCTGGTGGGTTGCGGGTACAACGCTTACCCAGCAGGCTCACAGTACGCCGAGTACCCCCAGATGGACAACAAGCAGGAGGACCGGCAGAGGCGCAAGTACAGATACATCGTTCACGCAGAGCAGAACGCCCTCACCTTCAGGTCAGAACACATCCGTGTATACGGGGGGGGGGGGACGTGTATACAGCCTGGGGGGCGGCGAGGATGTGAAAAACTCTTCTCTAAATCTAAACGGTGTCTGACAGAAGTGTTCCTCCTGCCGCTTTTAGGACTCGAGCCATCAAACCGGAGGAGCCCACTATGCTGTTTGTGACCAAATGTCCATGCGACGAGTGTGTGCCTCTGATCAGAGGAGCCGGCATCACACACATCTACACCACCGACCAGGACCGGGACAAGGACAAGGGGGACATTTCTTACCTGCGGTTCAGCAGCCTGAAGAACATCAGCAAGTTCATAGTTAGTTACTGTTAATCACATTAATAAAGCTGCTGATTATGTTTTTAGGTAAATGTCCACACATCAGATCAGAACTTGGTGGTGACCATATTCCAAAGTTGGTCGGATGTTGAATCGGTGACACATTTGACTCAAAGGTCAAAGGTCATTGTGACCTCTTTATAGGTTTTTTAGCCATAATTAATTAACTGGGTTCAGATTTTACACACTTCTTGACTGGGACGACACAAAGTGTAAACAATAACTAGCACAACATGGTTATATACTCTTTCATGTTTACCTTTTTAGATGTTTTTGTTTGCACCACATCACTTCATTTTTTGTGGGTACAATCAAGTTTTAAACCATCAAAACAAAGCAAATTTCTCCACTCTCATGAGAATCTCTTCGGAAGTATGTTAATTAATTCTGTTACATAATGAAATCTCCTGTGACTCAGCAGCTTTTTGATGTCTTGCTTCTGGTGCAGTTGAGGAAAGTAGATAAGATTTCATCCACCTTGGAGACTCTGACAGTTTTCTCTCTCCACAGTGGCAGAAGAGCCCTTCACCTGGCTCAGCGTCCTCTCCCCACCGGGCCAGTAAGTTCCATCTTTTTCTCTTTACGTCTTCAAATGTGCCTTTTTATTGGGTCGTCTTGTAACAGCGGTGTCTTTGTGTTCCAGACGGTTGTGTCGGGAAGCACAGCAGGCAGACCGATCAAGATAGCCACAGCACCAAGAAGCTGTGCACCAACAGATCGCACGACTCGCCTACTGTTAGCTGAACGCCAGCCACAGATGGATGGACAGACAGATAAATGGATACACCAAAAAAACCCAACAACACAGAATCCTGTTTTTAGCCAACTTTCCACAGACTAGATGTTTTATGGCTCGAGCTGGGAGGAGTCTGAATATTATTTCCTCCCTGAAGATCAAATCTCTGCCACATCATTATTTTACATTATTTATTTGCTCTTTTACCCAGAACTGGGGTTGGTTTTGTGAGCCATGTTTTTTTTGGAAACTGATCATTCGTCAGTCTATATGTGAACATCAACATCTTTCCTGTGTCCTTCTGTAGACTGTTGAATCTGCTGCTGCATGTTTATGTTTTATACCATACTGAGTGATAATAGACAGCAGACGCTGGCAGTCTCAGATGAAGATTGGTGAAGTTGAAACCTAAAAGGTTGGATTTGAACTACCTGGGGCTGCTTTGAGTTGGAATTGTCCTTTTAAGGCTCATATCTAAGAAGTGGGAGCCGCCCTTAGAACACTTGATCTCTCTCTTTCCATCTGTCGTATATTTTATGTCCTGTTATTCAGAAGTCATTGGCAGGGGGTTGGAGAGACGAGAACAAGATGAAAACCATACAACACGCTGACCTCAGAGAGAAACCTTTAAGAAGGGATGGATGAATGGGTGCATTAATGAGGGAAGAGGTAAGGAATGCATGTGGATGTTGGAGACTGTAGGGATAGTAAGGATACCACTAAAAATAGTATATTTAATATAGTGATATAAAGTGTGATATGTGGATTTGTTCATTATGTTGATGATTTTTTATATAAAGTGGTTTAAATAGTTTATTTAAATACTTTAAGATGAATGACAAAGAGGAGGCAGCAGCCTCCTCATGAAAGGATTAGATTAAAGGAAAATGAGATTCGTTTCAGTAATACCAAAAGAAGAAAGTGTTCTCTTTCCTTAAATCATGAAATCCTGATTCATTTCACAGTAATAAAGAGGCATTCGATTCGATAAAATGCTTCATGAAGCAGTTTTAAGAAAGAAGGAAGTTGATAGCGAAGCTTTAATCTAGTGTCATTATTTTCATTATTTATCTAAAGTGTTGAGGATTCTGCACGAGAACCCGTTCTACTTGCATTGTATGTCATACCTTTTTCTAACACGCAGTTCAAATGTTTCTGTAGCTGGAATCCATTCATGGAGAAAGACTTAGTTAATCTCAGAGTGCTAGCTGTGGAGCCTCTCAGCATAATTCAGAAAAACAAGTTAAACTCTTGAGACTGACATGCTGCAATATATACACAATGAAAATAAAAAAAATGAAAAAATAAGATGTTTCTTGACTCTGTAACAGTGATCAACATCCGTAATTGCACACCACCTGCCTGTAAACAAGTGAGAAATGAACACGCACACAAAGCATGCATTCCCATCCTTTTATTTGCCGTGAATGTGGTACAATAGCATCAATGTGGAAAGTAAAGTGGCGGTTTTCAGAGAGGACATGGGGAAGATAATGTGGAGTTCTGCTGGGATCAAAGTTGCTCATTGTTTTAGGCAGGCAGGCAAAAAAATAAAAAACCAAGGGACGTAGTGGAGTTTGGCTCAAGTGACAAGTCTGATGTAAAGCTGGTTGGTCTACTTTTGCATCTCACGTTATATTCAGATATAGTGTAATATGTCACAGCTTATAACATAAAAAGGCTGGTATTGTTTTTTATTTTTCACCCAAAAGACAAAACATGGAGAACACTTTTTTCATTTTTCTTTTACACCAGGAAATAAAAAGTAGAACGGCAATTAACAGGTTTATGATTGTTGCTGTCACCGTACTGTACTCCACTTCTGCCTTTATTACTGTTCAGATCAGCTGTATTTAACAAGTGATAGCAAAACATTAGTGTTTAAATACTACTTGAAACAGTTTAGAGTGAAGGTTGAGGTTCCTTCCTAAGACCCCGCCTCTTTTTGCTCTGTGCTCCAATAGCACATACCAAAAATGGGCGTGGCTTATGAAGGGCCAATTAAAGAGACTTGTAATTTTTTATTCATCATGATTTCAATAAACATAATATAATGGTTGCACATCAAATATTGATTGGGAAATCAATTCTAAATTTGAATCACTTGATTTCTCCATTTTTAGAAAACGGAATAATTTTTCATTTCCAAGTCAAATATAAAACCAACACCACTTTAAAAGTAGCATTCCAACCTCACGGATTCTGCACATTTTATGGTCCTTTAACAACAGGTGGATTTTTCACAGTTACATTTCACCATCGAAATCATGTTGCAGGTCAACTTTGGCCTCACTCTGTGACGAGTTAGTTGCTGACACAGTTGATAATTCACATATTGAACTAGCGCTTCATTGGCGACAAATTCAAAGTGAAACTGTGACCCTGGTCCGTACACAATGGCAACCAATTAGCTGCAAAAAGTTCAAAATGTTTCTTTGATAGCGTAACTCAAATATAGCGAGTTAAGAGGTTCACTGCTTAATCACAACAAATATGTTCTATCAAGAGCATATTTTCATTAACATAATAATTAAGCTCCCCCTAGAAAGATACTGAAAATACAAAAAAAACAAGATTAGAGCAAAGAAGGGAATACACACCAAACCAAAAAAGGCACCTCTGAATCTTCTCAGGTTTCCATTCTAATACCAACATCAGATCTAAAACAGAGCAAAAACACTTCTTACAGTACAGAAAGAAAAAAAGAAGTGAAGCAAAAAAAACAGCCATCTTTACAGCTGCTCTCCTCTCTCAACAAGGAGCTCCTCCACACAGCAAAGTGCCTCCTGTTAATGTTCAATGTTCTCACTCACAATGGCACTCACTTCAGGTGTGCAAACCATAAACTGTACAAGAAATGAAACTATATATATATAAAAAAAATACCATTAAGCAGTGTGGAAACAGTGATCAGCTTAAGATTAACGAAAAAACAACATTTGAATCATCATATTTTTTTTTATCTTACAGAAAGTGCTATCAGCCACCAGCGAAGAGAACCAGTGATCAAAATGATTGAAGCTTACTGTACCGATTGCAGCCCAATGTCACGATACAATTTAAAAAGGCCTTTCATTTCAAAGACTTCAAATATTCCTACGAGTACTAGTTTGTGTCTGAAATTTTTGGTCAACTGTGACTAAAACCAGTTCTCTCAAAACACCTGGAATTCGCAGTCTTGCTAAAGCTTATTCTCTTACTGCAGTTAGAGTGGCACAGTTTGATGCTTCTAAAGCCTCTGAACACCCACACAGGAGTTTTCAGTTATTCTGGCTGATTAGACCTCTGCTCAGGTTGAAGTTGGGCTGGAGCTTTGATGGGAATTTCGTCACAAATTTCGAATTATCTCCAATAAGAATGATAAAGGAATCATTTGTCCCGCCCTAATAGGTGCAACAAAGCTAACACGAGACTCAGCATGATGTCACTCAATCACAGTATCGAGCCCGCACAGTCCTGAGCAGAGGTCTAATCAGCCAGGTTAACTGTAAACTCCTGTGTGGGTGTTCAGAGGCTTTAGAAATTCCAGCATTGCACAAGATAACATCTGCGGTCACCCGCCGAAGCATTTTGCAGATGAGTGCCAAATCTTTGTGATCTTGAAAAGCGGTTATCATAGAGAAATCAGCTTTTATGTATCGTGTAGTGCAGTGATACTCAACTTAAAGCACTTGGGCCAAATAGGGTGCCAGGTGGCCCACCAACCATTTTCTAATTCACAATGAAACTAAAGTTATTCACACTGGGAATGTTTTTGTTTGTTTATACCAATAAGTAAATGTTCAATAATTGACTGTTAATTGGGAAGTTGCATATTAGCATTATTATCATTGATCTGTGCAGTGCGCAGAAGTGGTGACACTTAATTTCTGCAAAAAGTTCCTGTACATCAGACTTGCAACTGGATTTGCCTCTTGGCAAAAAAGGGCGAGGACAGAAATTTGAAGATTGCCAATGAAAAATTCACAGATGAATTTGCCTTTATTTTGTCAGCTCAAACCCATCCTGAACCAGTGTTTAATTAGCCAAATGACAATTACTCTATGCAGCATTCCTGCCTGGTAGCACTGCAAGAAAGGAGACAATTACAACTTTAAAGCAGGCCTATTATGCCACATTAATGAGCCTAATTTCTGTTCATTCAATCTGATATATAATAATAATGATTGTTTATTAACTGGACCCTGGCCTCCTGTTATTTTGCAAAAGTTGAGTATGTTGTAGAGCGTTGTCAACTTCAGAGAACTGCTTCAGCCTTTCCCTCGTTGAATTACCAACACGAAAAATATAGTTTTGCATCGCCAGTTAGTTAAAACATTTAGCTTTTGAGGAATAGTAAGGAAGACGAGAGTGTGAATCCATGATTCTTCGTTGGCATTTGTTGATGCTTTTTAGTTTTAGAGAGAAAACTTTAGCAGTCATTGGCTTTGGCAGTACAATAAGAGCGATGTTTGGCTAGCAGAAGGATTACTGTTGCCATTTGACTAACGAAGCTTTTAGCAATGACTGAGGTGTTTCACACTTCAGACAGTCTCGCTCTAAAGTGTATTTTTGCCAGATACCGACTAGACACGTTGACTCAGCTAAAGAAGAAAGAAAAGCAGAAATTCTTCATTGTTTTTTTGATTTGCAGCTACTTCATTTAAACAGTTAGAAATTAACTTGTGTGCAGCGAGTAACAGACCACCTTCAACAGGCGACTGTGATAAAGTTACAAAAATGGTCAGCCACTGGACCATTCTGGCCGAAGCTTTTTTCGCTGGTTCTCCCAACAGAGCAAATCAGCTGCCTCACTACATGCTACAGATGAAAAGGAAAAAAAAATATTTAATGAGAAAAATTTACAAAAGAAACATCAGTGATTGAGAACTACGTTGCACAAGTTTTAAATGAACCAACAAAGAGAAAAAAGACAAATAACGTCTTGAAGATTTTTTTTTTTTAAATAGAGTAACCATAATTGTTAATGTGTTTTTTTTCTACTGTATGTCTTCCCATCGATAAAAAGTCGGGGTAGAGGGCAGGGAGCTCCTCTAGGAGGCCGGTTTCTTCAGATCCCGGATCTGTTTGATTAGGTAGGTCTTCTCGTCGTTGAACTGCTCGTCGTCCATGCGGTCCTTCTGGAAGTTGCTCAGGAAGTCGATTAGTTTGGTCTGGTTCTTGAGCAGGATGTCGATGATGGGCTGCGTCTTGTTGGGGTTCGCTACAAAAACCTGAGGACGAGAAACAGAGGAGAATTTTACCTTGTGTGCATACTGTGTCAGTTCATAATGTGATAGAATAACTAGGTTACATTTTTCCTGCCTCCATGATGGCAAAGTTTGAACCCCTCCATGACATAGGATAAAACATATCCTAGATTTAATACATTCTATATAGATTTCTATCTCAAATATTGCTTATATTTACTTCCTAATGGTGTATTTCTTTTCTCTCAGATGGCTAAAATTTGCCATTATGTGACTGGCCGACGATGGAAACTCAAATGATACTTTCTGGGTGAAACACCACCTTTGTACAGTCCAGGAGGCATGACTCCATGGACTAAAAAGCCTAAATAGAAGCCCCTAATATAGGTAGGAAAACTTGATTACAGTATTGTGATTTCTCTACTGGCTTTGTGCATCAGCTGATAGACTTTGTAAGAAGCTAGTCTGTTATTTCATCTATAGATTAAGAGAATACACAGAACAACAGAGGCAGAAATTGGATTTAGTGGCATCTAGTGGTATAGTTGCAGGTTACAATGCCCTTGTCTCCACCAGTTTCAAGTGTGTAGGTGGCTGGAAAAAACCTGAAGAGCCTCATCTACAACCAGTGTTTGGTTTGTCCATCATGGGATACTGTAGATAAATGGCGATTTAACATGGCAGACTCCTTAGCAGAGGATAAAAACGGCTTATTCAAAGGGGATTTTACACTAATGAAAACATACCTATGGATATTAGACGTTTAACAGCACTTTCTGAACTGAATGGATCCATATTTGCTGTTACATGCATGGGCGTGGTGTTTTTACCTTGAAAACGTGGAAGGCTTCAAACTGGATGTTGGGACTCTTGTCTCTTAGCAGGTTCATCATCAGCTTGAGATTCTCCGGCTTGCTGATGTAGCGCGTCATCACCGTGAAGTTATGTCTGTCCAACAGCAGCTCGCCCAGAAGCTGGAGGGAGGCATGGTCAAAAGCAATGAGACAATTCGATATTAGAGACATCCACTAGATTCATGTTTCTTGAGTGTGTATACATTTTAGAGACGTTCCAATACCATTTTTTCCTTCCCGATAGCAATACCTGAACTTTGCGTACAGCTGATACATAGCAAATGGGACACTGCTGGGAAGTAGCAGGGTCCGTTTCGGGGCTAATAAGTTACGTGTTATCGAATCGCGCACGGACTAAACTTAAGCCTGATAGTGGTGTCAGGGGTCCAAAGGTGGGGCTGGTAACGCCCTCTATTGACTTGGGGAGAACGTTAACTACCCTCTACTTACTCTGACAGTGACCCCCGACTAAACAGTAGGAGCTGGTAGTAACACACAATCCCTCAACGGCTTCCCACCCACAAACACTGCTAGCCGAAGCAGTACCAGCTTAGCTGGTCAAGATCGTTACAGTGGTCGTTTTTTCTCTACGCCAGTTTGTAATAATTACATCCTTTTTAATGTACACAGTTCTCCTGAATAAGTGCAAATTGAATTCCCATTTGAAGATGCCGTCTTGTGATATTTATAGTTTCACAGTGAGTCACAGTGTTGGGTCACATTTTTTTTAAGACTAGCTTTAATGATTATAAATCAATGTATGAGTCAGAGTCAAACCTTTAGAGACTGCCTCTTGGTGACGTAGTTCTCAGAATGCAGCAGCTTCTCATAGTCTGCAAACACCTACAATTTTAAAAGAAACACACCTTCATTATACATTAACAGACCAGGGTGGAATTTCAGACATTAGGCTTGTGGTTTAACATGTTTAGTTAGCTAAACCAGCTTGCCCATTTGCCACCGGGGAAACACCATGCAAAATGACCACAACTACAACTCCTTTGTATGTGGGCATTCAGACGAGTAAAAAAAACATGCAACAAAGAGGAAGTGGATTCTTCTGCCAACTTCCTACAAACTTTCAGAAAAGACACAAGCTCTGCCACGTAACGTCATCTTGCATTTAACCATTAGAATGACTCTTACACTGAGTTTTATGTCTCTTACTCTTAATCTGAATCTTATTTCTTTCTTACCAAACTGACTGAAGGAGGGTAAGTACACCTTGCCACAGTAATCTGTTATATATATTAGGTATATCACAGATGCTAAAATCTGTCAAAAACCAATGCACTGCTGTAAATGTACCTGTCAGGCCATCAGAATCTCTATTGAGGCCCTAGCACCGACCCGACAGGCTTCACAGAGACATCTGTCAACACACAACGTCCAGGTAAAAAGGTAGTTTTGTGGGGGGTTTCTTCAGCCTGAGACCCCTGGAGGGGCCCTAGCTTATGAAAGGGACCCCTCTGCCTGGCGAAACTGACAGCATAGAGCTGAGCTTTGTATCTAGACCAGTTGTGACACTGAGAGGGCTTTCCACTGATTCAGTTTTCCTGGAACTTGAAGTGGATTGGTCAGAACCTTGTTTCTTACTATCCATGTGAACGCCTGCGTGTGTGACCAAAGTGTGTTCAACAAGACAAACCTTTTTTTTTGGATATGTGACTGGACTATTGAGCGCTATTGAGCGGTTATATATCTGTGTGTTTTTTTCTTCTCTTGGGGGTTCTACTGCTCAAGCAGTCATTTAGAACCAGTGTTTATGTTTATGCCTCCAAATAGCACTCAGCGGGCTGATGCTGCGTGACATGCGTGGGAGGTGGGTGTGTGTGCGTTGAATGGATGTGGTCTGGGGTGGAGCAGAGGCGTGATGCAAGTTAAAAAGTTCCACCTGGCGACGCTGGTTCAGAATAAACACAGCAAACCTGCTTTTACATGTGTGGTAGCTATTAACAGTCATCCATCATGTGTTTTCCACACTACTCCTCTGCAGGTTAGAGCCACAGTGTTGGGAAATATCACTCACAGCATCGTAGTTCTGTTCGAGGTATTCAGCCACAAGCACTTTGTGTCTTGTCAGGAGATCCTGTGAAGAAAGACAGACTTGATTTATGATTTATTTTTCCATCAGATAACTTAAACAAAATGGAAATGCCCACTTTCTGTACAGTAATAATACAGGTAGAACATACTCTACTTATTTATTTTGTAATACAAATGCCTTTTTGTTTCAACTCATCAACAAACTTTGAGAAGAAGTTAAAAGTAAGAAACTCTTGGAGGATTCAGACTGGTATAAGTAAAGTAAATACTTCAAAAATTGGTGATAATTCATTCCAGTTTAGGGTTTTCTTCAATAAACATGAAATTAAACCTGAGGCAACCTGTCTTAAAAAGGCCGGCTCAACCAAATTAAGAGCAAAAAAAAAAAGGACAATAATCGACCTCTAGTTGTGTCTAGCCATGCATTTAGTTGTGGCTTTATTAAAGGTTTGAGGTACAGGATGTGTTTCTAAGATTTGTCTAGTTTCTGGAGGGAATTGGGCTTGATTTGTGGTGGTTACAGATTTTTCAATAACAGTGTTCCTGTTACTTCGAGCACACTGACAACTATCCACTGACTACTTGCTTAATAATACCTGCTTTCAAAAAAACCTTCATCAGTTAAACGCTCGTCCTACAGAGCAGATGTGGTGAAAAACATTTTCTATTGTTTCGTACAGACTAGAACAGGAAAACCCGAGGTACCTTGAAGGTGGCGAAGGCGTCGGAGGCGATGTCGAAGGTGGACATCTCCACGTAGTTGAAGAAGCTGTTGAAATGGTCAGAGTGAAGGACTATCTTGGCGAGTGGCTCGTGGCGGATGCACTCCCTCAGCATGATCCCACAATTCAACGCTACCTGAGGTGTCTCGTACCTTCGAACACACAGAGAGTGTGAGTACTTCTGTCACCTCTTAGGCAGCAAGACAGTGTACTCTGTGTGTGTGTGTGTGTGTGTGTGTGTGTGTGTGTGTGTGTGTGTGTGTGTGTGTGTGTCTGTGTGTCTGTGTGTGTCTGTGTGTGTCTGTGTCTGTGTCTGTGTCTCTCTCTACCCTTTCAGCAGTATAAAGAGGACCTCTTGGTGGGAGCAGAAATATTCGACAGTGGGGCTCCTCGTCCCAATCTGCCTCCTCAGGATGTTGTTAAAGATCTGACACACATCCTTCTTCCCCTGGAAACACACACACACACACACACACACACACACACAACATACATATTAGACATTAAACAAGCACTAAGTACTGTCCCAGTCCCAAGTCACAAATTGATAGAGTTCATTTCAACTCTCTTTCTTTGAGATGTTTCTCATCCTCTACAATGTACAATGGCCTATCATCACTTTGGAGCCTAAAGCCACGTCCACATTTCTTAGTTAAAAGCCAGTTTAAATATAAAAATTCACAACACACAGGACTTAAACCGCGGTCGCCCTGGAGGAAGATCCCATGATTAACCCACTCATCCACCACCTCTTTCTTCTGAAGTGGAGTGAGCACTTGAGGGTGTCACTCTTACTTTCACCCCTTTTTGAAAGCAGAAAATATGTTCCTTTTGCAGCTTTAATCATGAGGGAAGGCACACTGCTTTATGTTGCAGATCACTATGTGGTTAACCTGTGGCGTGATATCAAAGCCAGGGACCTGTGTACACCCTCATGTCCTCACCTCGAAGTCTATGACCTGCAGGTTTTCTACCAGCGATATCAGCAGACCACTGTTGTACAGCTCCTGGGCCAGCTGGGCCACGGTCTCGGTGTGAGGCTCCTTATCGTTGCTGCCGTACAGAATCTCCTTCATGGACACCAAACACTTGGACACCTCCTCAGACGCCTGGAGAGCAAGAGTTGGAGGAAGAGGAGGTAAATATAGAGGAACACACATGCAAATATTGATCAAACATTACGGAAGAATCATCCTGGTCAAGAGGAAAAAGGAGAAAGCTGAACTTGGCTTTGTGTGTGTGTGTGTGTGTGTATGTAAGAGAGAGAGTGTAAACTGTCTTGACAATTAAGTGTCAGGAGATGACAGGGCCAGGCTGTTCCATGTTCTAATTTCACAGAGGGCTGTCACCCTTGGGCCCCTGGACACCCAGGCACGCACGCACGCACGCACGCACACACACACACACACACGGGAACATACACACACATCTACCTTGTCTGTCTTCTTATCCTGTTTGACCAGGATGGCCATGTTCTCCCTCAAGGTCCTGACGATGTCCGCCGGACTCTTGTGGGATTTACCAAACAGCGGCATGATGGGCACACACTCGCCTTGGGACCTGGGAAACACAGCAACAACACACACAAACTCAAAAACTTGTGTAAAACATTTGAAAGGTTTAATTTGCCAGGAACAATTTAACTTGTGTTCCATTTCGAAAAGAACAGGCAGAAATGTGATGTGAACACAACACAACACATAATAATCAATGACAAGCTAGATGCGGTAGACAGTTATAGACTGATCAATATTGAAGAGTTTTTTTAAATTATTTAATAACTTTGATCAGGATATGTACTAAACGGGATCAGGATATGTACTGAAGTTACAATTTATAGTTGAAAAAGTCTGAGCTGGAGTCACAGTTATTAAATATAAATAAAACCACTATCTGTTGATCTTGAACTCCCTTCCATGAACAGTCAACCTGTGTCTGATTTCAGCGGAAAGTTTAAGGCTTTTCTATGACAGATTTAATGCAGTATCCAGGGATATAATGAAACACTCAACTCACGATTCGATGCAATTCACTATACTGGGTTCATGATAAGATTTTCTCAAAGAAATTAGATTAAAGACAAATTATGACTGAAAAATATTCCTTTGTTTGTCTGATAAAGTGATATAAATCTAAGAGAAAATAATATTTTTTACATTTTTTGTGTAGAATCCTTTTTTATTTCTGAGGTAGGGTATAAACTGCAAGACAACGCATATTTCCTGTTCTTTGTAAAAGTGATATCTCTGCACCACAATATAGCTTAACATTTACTACATAATTAATGTACAGCTGACTAATATTATGGCACACACATGAGGAAGTAACATAGGTTGTAGAAGGCAGTGTGCTGTTGGTGTCTAAATGCTGCTTCACAGGTTTCTCCACCCTGCCACATTATGTTCTGAAATTTAACACTAAATACAAAGAAAATGGTCAATACAAAATCAAAAATTCAGAAGCCAATCCCAGTCTTTTACTTGCTCTCTTTCTTTAACCAGTCGGTATGGCAACTCAACAAAAGGCCGCTGAGAGAGACATATGCGTGTGTGTGTGTGTGTGTGTGTGTGTGTGTGTGTGTGTGTGTGTGTGTGTGTGTGTGTGTGTGTGTGTGTGTGTGTGTGTGTGTGTGTGTGTGTGTGTGTGTGTGTGTGTGTGTGTGGGCGCTAGGGTTCCTCTAGCACCTTAGAGACACATTCCAATGTCATCTCTAGTCTACATGAGCAACTGCAGCCCTTTTGACACCAGACTCCTCAGACAATCAAAGTCAAAAACTACAAGGAGGAGTCAGAAACCTGAACGCCTCACTGATGTCTGAATGATTTTGAAGGCAACATTTTGATTCAGGTCAGTTTCCTTACAGAAAACACATATTTAAATGTATATTTAAAGTTTAAGCATATGACAAAATGATGGGACCTATTGTACACTTAAGAACTGATCTTACTTCTTTACAAACAACCTAAACCTGGATCAGCTTAGCAGCAGTCTGATTCAGAACCTGAAGTTATGTACAGCAGCTTGCATTGTCTTGACTTTATATGATCCATGTAATTTAGATTTATTTTATAATATCTGAATACTTGAGGTTGTTTTTTGCCCTGGTACTGTCAGAATGTCAACAGAAGGTGCCAGGGTTTGGTCAGGGAGTGTGTAAGCATTTAAAGGATCCAGGAGGCAGCAGCGGCCTTCACAATCCAGGCCAGGTCAGGAACAGGCAGAGAACTTGTGACTGCTAATCCTCATCTGGGAATGTAAAACCCTCCTCCCCCCCGCCCCTTAAATCTACCTTCATTCCTCACCATCCACCTCCGCTACCATTCCTCCTTCCATCCACTCCATCTTCGCGTGCTTCTTTCAAGCTCGACCGCAATTCATCCATTTGGCCTCCCCTCTCCTCCACACCCCTTCCTCCCCTAACTAAATACATTTACTCAAGTACAGTATGTAAGAAAAATGTTTAGGTACTTGAGTATAGTTACCTGGCAGACAGATTATTATATAAAACATAAATATAAATCAACTAATAAATCATGATGCTTGATTATACATCACAGGTGTATAAAGAAATAAATCTTAGCTCCAACTTTACCAGCTGCAACATCAAAGTGATGAACACATTCATTCATCAGTCATTATAATCCAATGGAACGGGCCATGCTGCACTTTTATGTTTGGTTGTATATTTTGATGATTTTGTACTTTTACTTAAGTAAAGTAAAAGATTTTGAATATTTGACTTTGTTTACAATGTGGTATTACTACATTTACTTACAAACTGTACAAGATCTGAGTACTTTAAGCCTATGTTTAATTAAATGCTGCAAAGGTTCTCACTAAATGTGTGTCCTCAGCCCGGTGGAGTCGGGACAGTTAACACAAGAACAGGGAGTTAATAACTGAGACAGTAAAAGAGCTGTAGGTCTGTAGCGGAGAGCATTTCCCCGGACAACACTAACTAAAGTGGTCAACCCTGAGCTGCGCAATGGATTTATTACATCGATTTTGCTCCATTCGAAAAATCTAATTACATGACATGAAACCCAACATGCTGCCCAAATATTAACAACGTGAGATTTGATGGGCCACAGGGCAACAGAGCAGCTGCTGCAGCTCACAGCGCAGGAGCACACACACAGATCATTTACAGAGATGTTTGCGGAGAGCGTGAATTTAACTACAAAAAAAAACCTGTAAAATATAATCCTTCCACATATTAAGAGCGAGGCTGATTTTCATAATAAAGAATATGCACAAGAGGGTTCGTCAATGCCCGCAAAACCAAGAGAAACAGTTTGAATTGGAATCACAAGGTTTTCACCTGACAAAGACAAAATCTCAGCTGAGTGAGTTCACTTCCCTCGACACTGGCTCGCAGTGCTCAACCTTCCATTTCTGGCATGAAGAATTGATTTTAATGATAATGTAAAAAGATGCCAGCTTATGTGCTTTCAAATAAGTCTTTTTCAGTCTGGGGGCAGACGGCCGATTCACATTTAACAAATGAAATCACATGGAACAAGATGCCTCATGACATCAGGGAGACTCAAAAATACTTTGTCCACGAGCTGCTAAGTGCACAAAATATTTCAGTCAGGCTCCATCAGGAGGTCAACTTCAACTCAAGGAGCCAAGTTCTTAACACTTCTTAACACGGGACAGATTTCAAGTTTTTCTTCTTGTTCCTACAGTTGGATGTTTGAGCTTCACTGTGCAGAATTATGTATGTGTAAACTTAGAAATTAACTAAATTAGCATATTCATAGACTCTGTAAGGAGTAGATTACTTTTGGAGGATTTTAAAGTGGAAATTATACTTTTTAGCAGAAAAACCATATCAGACACACATTATTGTTCCAATATAATGTAATATATTAGATAATATAATCTGTCTGGAGGGGATCTTTAAATAACTGCCACATGGCATTTCTACTTTTTCCACTGTGTTATTAATGTGACTAAATGCCTCTCAAAAATACCTGTGGAGGCGGTTTAGATGTTCACATCTTTATTCCGTCTATTTAATTAATGTCAAGATGTAAAGTGGGTGTGCAGTACACATTTGAAGGTAGCTGACTGTTTGTCTGGAAAAAGTAAAAAAAAAAAAAACACACAACACTTCTGTTTCCCTTTATCATCATGTTGTTACATGACGCCTACACAACTTCGGTCTGGTCAATATTTGTCAAAGGATAAGCAGGCAATGAGGAAGTAGTTATCAAAACAGGGGAGCGATATTGCACAAGCTTTCCTGCTCTTTAATCCAATCATTTATAGCTGTGTCAGATAATAAGCAGTTAGAAGTAATATTTCCACTGCCGCTTGGCCTCACTGCTGCAGCTAAATGTTTCTGATTATTAAAGAATACTTAAAGGGTCCCTTTTAATCATCTAATAACACCTCTGAATCCTGGAAAAGCTTAGGTGACTGTGAAGCCTTCATTTTCACTTGTAGCCTACTTAAGACTGACTTAATGTTATGTAATGGAATTAATCTGGTGCCCAGTGGGCCTGAACACTGCTAGCTGCGCCGCTTAAGTATAATCTCACATATAAGGCTCCACATTGCCCCAAATATTAATTTTTCAGCTTTAATTAGGAGAGCCCAAATTAGCCTTAAATAAAGATATGCAGGATAAAGGCTACACTGGAATAACAATTTCTATCAGATTATAAATACATTCATTTTATTTTTAGATATGAATTCATGTTCAAGCTGTTATCACCAATATTTTAAGTGATAAATAGAGTTTTATTCTTATTTTGTTTTCAATTTCTCCTGTAGGTTCCTGGAAAGACAACTTCATTTTGTCAGTTTTCTTTTATTATATTTTCCACACGGCTATCAAAAGACATACCCTAACACCCTAATTTCTGGCTTCCTGTTGGTCAAAAAGAAAAATTGGATACGGCAAATGTTATATCCATGTGTAAAAATATACTGATTTATTTTACAATTCATAGCTGCACTTAGTTGATGACTGAATAAACAAATTAATGAAAGAGCTTCTAGAGCTTCCACTAACAATTATTTTCACGATCATAATCTCTTTGTCTGTGGAAATGTCAGGGGCTGAGGATACTCTATCTAGTATCTCATTCACTGCACACACTCTTGACTGAAGCTGAAATTGGAAGAATGATGACATATTTAAGCTTTAAGCAGATTATCTAGAAGCCTGACCTTTGCTGCGACATATGGCCTTAATGTAAAAGCAGACATCTAAAAGAAAATACCCTTCACTTTCATCGTTACTAGACCTGTGCTGAACAGTCGCTTTGTACACTCTGAATAATTTAAACTGTCCTACACAACATGCATTAGCGCTGCTTGACTGACTGTAAAGTTTGTTGATGTGTGTTCTCGAACTCTACCTTAAACTGACAGTATGTTCTTCCACATATTGTTCAATTTCTTCTCTTGTTGTTCATGCACTACTTTAAAAAGGACCAGTGTGCAGGATTTAATGGCATCAAGCAGTGAAGTTGCAACCATTTGAATACAGCTCAGCCTTCCAAGTGTGTAGGTGAAACTACAAAAAATGGCGGACTCCGCCAGAAGAGGATCTGTTCCCTCTGCAGATAAAAACAATTCTTATTTTCAGGTGATTATATATGAATGAAAACACACCTATGGGTATTTTATTCCATTTCTAGATCCTCCTAAATGTTACATACTGGACCTTTAAAGCACACACTTATGTTTTTATTCAACCTTTATTCAAAAGCTAAAACAATAATTCTGCCATTAATGAATGAACTGTCGAGACTGTTCTGTTAGTCAGGTCCCCTGCCCTCCTCAGCTAGCACAGCTGTCTTTTCCACAAGTAGTGGGTGGCTTTGATGACTAATCAAAGTAATTCCAGCGTGGCACGATAGCAGTCTGTCGCACCTACATGTCAGTGTGACAGCAATGGTACTGATTTTATATTCTACAGACCTGGTAAAAAACTAATGAATAAGCCTTTACACACAGCTGCTAAAGCTTCTGAAATAGAAAATTATAGGGAAATTGCTCTCCACACATGACTGATGCCATTAATAAGTTCTGCATCAGATAACATGTAATACCTTCTTAAATGATCAGATTCAGATTCAAAATATAAATATAATTCATCATTTCTGTTTGTGCACTCAAACCTATTAAAGCGTCGCAAATCTTTTTCAATAAGTCACGAAGGCGTTCAGCAATGTGACGAATGCACCGCCTTTCAGAAAGGAAGAAAGGTGGCTGCTGCCTCTAATTTGACAGCATTTCTACGCGTCCGCCTGGAATGCAGAAGCAGCCATTCACCATGTAACATAACACATACAACTGGAATTTAAGCATTCAAGGAGCAAGGAGGAGATTTAACCGTCAAACACTTACTCAGCATTAATGATTACTGCTGGTATAAGCTGATATGGCCTTTTTGGAAGAGTGTGTCAAAGAGAAAGCAAGGCCGTTTAAACTGAATGAATAGAAGTAAAATTAAAATGACAACAAAGCATAGCAGGGTTTATTTCTTACAAGGAAAACCAAGCTTTTCAAGCACATTTTAATTTAAAGTCAAGACCTACAGATTGCACTTGAATGACTTTTTAAGAGCTTTAACTCCAGGTAATCAAATTCAAAACCTTTCAACGCTTTTAAAGTCCAAATTTAATCTTAAAAAGTAGTTAGATTGCTCTTCCTTCGCTACAAAGCCAGCTCCCAGAGAGAGAAATGAGGATCAGAGTGTTTGATCACAGCCCGTCTCGAACTACAAAGAGCAGACGTTCACAGGGAGATTGTCCTCTCCGAGGCAACCCGGGAGGAACGCTCCCTGAAAAGGACAAACATCAGCGCCTTCATGAGATTGATAATGAGGGGAAAAATCTCATCTCTTCTTAACTTTGAGTGGGAAAACAAAAGCAAAAACAAACGCAGCTGGAGCAACCTGATATTACTACGAGCCCTGATGCCTGCCTGTATCTGATGCACTCCACTGAAGCATACCCAAACCTCCATCACCATAAAGATTCAGTTATGGCTCTGTGCTGTTGGCTGTGTCAGAGTAGCCATCACCTGCTGCTACATGTCCAAACACTTTGATAAACAGCATCATGGCTGAGTGAGGAAGATGTGCAGCCCACAAAAGAACATCAGCAATCTTTTAAAAAAGCAGTTCAGTCTGCAAGGCAAGCTTTCTTTCAACACGGCTTTGACCCTAACCTAAGCATGTGACTGGCAGAGCTTGTACCTAGGAAACCAAGTTCAGGGCAAAAAAGTAACTAAAATAAAGAGTTTCAAATATTATGCTAAACATAAATGTTATAAGATCCATACTTTTAATTCTAAAACTAAATATAAAGTAACCAACCTGCTGTACATCATACCAGCTTATTACTACATTCAGGTCCTTCAACAGCAGCCTCACACACACTGACAGACCTGGACTATATTGAATAAGTACAATATCTGCTACCATGTACAGCTGCTCCATCAGGAGAATGTGTAGGGGGCTGTGGTTACGTGCAGGGTCAGCAAGGGTTAATATTGTGAACTAGTGACAGACAGGCCTGTCCTACCAGGATATGAGAGCCTACTCTATCTAATTCTGGTCTGTCTATATGTCAAGGCAAATGGAGGGAGCCAGAGGAGCACAGGATGCTGGGCAGTTTAGCTTTCAAAGTAAAAGCAAAGAGGCGTTAGGAGATCTTAAACACTCACAGGGCCAACGTTTAAAAAAAACAACAGTTTCTATAGTTTCGGTATTCTGTTTATTATCAGAGAACTAAGAAAGGCTATGATTAAGGATTTCTTTTTGTAAAGCATAAAATCAGTAAATAGAGTCTAATCCTAGCATCAGTACATGGCATAAGAAATGTTAAGTATTTTGAGTCACAGCATTACTAATGGATTCAGACTGTGGCTGTAAAGTAAAACAATGCTCAACTCTGTTATACCATACAGCATATGAGCCATGACAACAACACCTATTTTAATATTGATCAATTATTTCTTCAAATCATCAATTATTAGATCTAGAAAATGTAAGAAAACAAATAAAGATGCCCATTACAGTTTCCCACACACCAGACAAGGTGATACCTTGAATTGCTTGTTTTATGTGTCCAACACTTTAATATTCAAATATATTACATTTCCAGTTATAGGTTATAAGTCACTTATAGCTTACTCACTAATTCCGTTTTAAGATGCTGGAACCAAAGCGCATTTACTTGATAATTATCTTAAACGGTTAATCAATTAGCAAAATTGCTGCCGATTAACTTTCTGGAAGTCAACTAATAGATTAGTTAATGATCAATAGTTTGTTATTCAGCGTAATTCATAGTTTCAGCTCTAGTTAGCCGTTAGACGGGGTTTACTCTGAAATACGTGACCGGAAGCTGCACTGTCTTCATTCCGGCTAGCCTGACGCAGGTCGTCTAAAGTAAGATAGCAAGGAGGAGGAAAAAAAACAAAACAAAAACAAAAAACCCACACTGTAAATGTGCTGATGAAGAATTAAAGAGCCGGGGAACGACAGGGGGATACGAGGTCGCAGCGCAGACGGCAGTAAATCACACATAAGGCCGCATAAACAGTCCCAGACAATGTGGTTTAACAAGGCTACACCCCTCTCGCCTCCGGGCTAAACTCCCTTTTTGTTTGACAGATTTCCAAAGCTAATCACAGTTGTCTGCATCATTTCAGAAACAACTGCTCAAAAAAAGGACATTGGGGAGGTCTCTTTTTTTCAACACAACACACATTTCTACGTTTCAACCCCGGGTGAAGTTACACAGACTGTCAAGGGCGATAATATCTCACCATTGGGATAACTACAAGCTACTGCTGCTCGACAGTATGGGCTAGAAATGATACCTTCAGTGGGAAGATGTTTGGTGTGGGGTATCTCTGGATGTCTTCACCGCTTCTGTCCCGGTTCACAGCGCAGGCGAGCCTCTCGGATAGGCGTCTGGGGTCACGCCAGGGTTGTTTGTTAGCAGGAAAGTCCGCTAAAAATGTGTGCGATACAATTTATAATGTGTGGAATCTGTTAAGAAGGCAGAGCTGAATTCCATCTGGTCGCTTTCCAGTCGTCTGTCAAGCTAGCGTGAAGAAACTTAAAGACGTCCGGTGCGGACTTTCACAATAAAATCCCGGCGGACCCTCATCCGTTCGCACTAATGGAAGAAGAAGTGTGCGCGAGGTTGAAATTCAACCTGAAATGGCTACTTGTGCTCGAAACACCGCCTGTATTTATAAGTTCAACCAACAATGGCCCTAGCTGTACACTAATAGGGTGTCACGCAGACTAATTTGCTTTATAGAGAAAAGGACGTCACTTCCGATAGTAGTCCGGCTCCCGTGTGCCAACTTGACACATCTGTATCTTTCCAGCCGCGGCTGAGTCTCGTTCACTTCCTCTCGTATTAGGTCCTTGTAACCGCCTTGCCTCAGGTCTTGTTACATTATATAGCATTTAAACAGTCAAAAGTACGGTTTAATTCACTGTACTTAAAGTCAACACATTCTGCGAGACACTGTTTACTTTTCTCCATCACTGAGAGGGGCAAATAAAGGACAGAAGAGCCTGAAGGTCAGATGGTGTACATATTGGAACAGACCCCAGGCCAAATCATGACAGGCTAAACTGGATAAAGCTCATTGGAGGTTTGATATCACGTGGTTAAAATTACACTTCCGGATGAAAATACAGAATTAATGGCACAAGCAATTTTTCCATTTGGTTTTATGTTAAACGCAAATTATTAAACTAGTAAAAACAGACAAACTATTAAAAAAATACTATAAAAATATTAATATAATTTAATTAATATAACAATAATATAATATAATAATAATGTTCTGGTTAAAGGGGTTCTAAAAACACAAATTGGATTATATGGGTTTGAACTTCCACGTTAAAATCCTTAAAAACACATCTACCCCTTCTACCTCATTAAAAATTGCAGAATCTATGAATATGCAAATTCTCATAGATTTTTTCTTCTTCACTGTAAAGTCCATTCTCAGTGTATGTGCACTGGCAGCTTCAAGTTTCTACATCACACTTGTTTAACTTGCATACTGGACCAAGACTGACTTCTAAAGTAGTTGTGATGTCACAAATCATGCAAGTAGGCTCCGCCCCTTAAAAATCTGATTTTTTTTCTGAAATTTTTTTATGAGCACAGAGAAACTTCCCACTTTCGGCAGATGAATGTGAAAACATCCTTCAATTCCTAACAGAAAGCCAAAACCCCATAGAGGAAACCATCTCAGACTTTATTAAAGCTGCTTTTCATTTTACATACAATTCAGAATTACATATTTACAAATATACACAGATATGTCTCATTATAATATCTTCATATCGACACCATACTCAGTAGATACAATATAGGAAAATAAAGACAGTGGTTGCTGCAATGTGCTGCATAAAAAGAAACTACAAAATATAACCCTTCTCATCTCACCAGCCTCCAAGTCAAGAGTAGAAATAATTCAATAAGCTTTATTGTGTGATCGTGATAAAACACTGACAAGTTTAGTGCCCGTGTCAGCTTTCATAAGAGGGCAGAAAATAAGCTCTCACACAATACAACAGTGCTTGGTAAAAAATACTCGCCTTGTTCAGGGCTTTTTTTTTTTTTTTTTTTTTTTTAAACACAAGAGCTTTAAAATTGGGGCTATGAAGAACATGCCACAAAGAGTGATGATATACAGAGAGACAAGGGGACTCACAAAAACCATGATCCTCTTCACAAGATACATGCTCTTGAGGGAAAACAATGTGAGGTATAGAGGACACGTCTGTACAAGTGTAACATACATCCTTACAGAACTAACACAAAATGCCAGCCACAGTTCACTCTCTGGTTCAGCTCACAGTTTGACACCGAAAAGGCCTGTAAACGTCCTTTTTCTGGAAACTTTCCTTTCACAGGGAGGACACGCTTCTTGTGATTGAGTAAAAAAAAAAAAAAAAAAAAAAAAGGGGGGCCGAATCGAACAAAAGCACAGTGGACAAATACAACCCGTTCTGAGTAATAAACTGGTAGGGCTGGTTTTAAGTGTAACAGCATGCTGCACTTCTCCTGTTTAATAACAGAGTCACACATTCAACACTGACGACAGGAACAGGAAGAGATTGTTTTACAGTGCGCCTCGTGGATACAGTAGAAATCTAGTAGAAAAACATGTTCACCCTTGGAAAACAAGGTGTCATTCAGTGTTCAGAATAGCACAGTGTCTTTGTGTGTGTGCATGAAGACGGGTGTCACAGCAGCTGGTTGTCAGAGGTGTGCCATCAAACTGTATCAACATCCTCATTTCCACTCCGGGAGCCAAACCAGCTCACTCACCACCCCTCGCTGTGCAATTAACACCAGAAATCAGACTTTTTTTTTTTTTTTTTTTACTTAGCTACATCATGGTGTCTAGTAAACAACTATTGCTCTCAGGGCTGGTGGTGCAAAACATGTTGAGAAGGTCCCGGTTAGTCCTGCTTGTGGAGAAGTGGTTACTGTCACATGCCTGAGTGGGGCTGGGAGCACAGGGAGGGGGACAAAGCCTGCGTTTGTTGCTGCAATGTAGGCCAAAGATAGGTGAGCACAGTGGCCGTGACACCAAAAGTGGATTTATATGCAGAGTGTTGAGATTTATGTGCGCCTGCTCCTCTTTGTCTGACAAGGAGTTCTTAAACTGAGGGTTATGGGACCCTCAGAGGCCACAGAGGGGCTCCTGGGCTAAATGCTAGTTCTTTATAAAGGACTACACATGAATTCAGCAGGTAAATGAATGACTGCCTCTATCTCCCCACTGTTATCTCCACACACGGGGTTTGTGACATACGCGTGTTGGGTTTGCTCTGAAGTGCGCGCGCACACACACACACAAGAATGCACACACACAAAGACATGTAGTCGACGCACAAGCAGGTATGCAGTCACACCTGCCTGCCCGTGCAACTTCTTGGGCTTCCTGAGAGGTAAATCCAGAGCAGTTCAGAGGCGAGTTAGACAATCAACTCTTGAAAAAAAAAAAAAAAAAAGAGGTTCAGAAGTTGTTTCCAAGCTGCCGCTCTCTGCGTAAGTGATTTGTACGTGTAGTTGGAGAAGTGCAAGACGTCTGACCACCAGGTAGTGCTGTTGGTGACATTCACCTAGTGATACATTTGACTGGATTTGTAGGTAATACCATAAAACCAGGGTTACGGGGAACTCATGTTAACAAAATAGGAAGATTTCAGCATTCTTGAATCGGGGAAATGAAAAACCAACTACCTCGACTACAGGGATTTAATACGTCCCCCCTGTATGTGCCCCACGTACAAAAAGGTCATAAGACTTACAGTATCACGCCCTGAACATTTGACCTGCTCAATGATGCTCCAAGATGCACTGAAAGCATGTTTTCTTGTTGCAGCCAGCTGCCATTTTCACAGTGTGCGATTATTATCCGACACTAAAGCCGATGTATCATGTGAAATACCAGTCTCGTATCTGTACCTGTGGATGTTGTCGACTCGAAAGGGTTCGGCAAGGTTGATTCTGACAGTTCAGTAAGCTGCAGACGGCTCACGTTTAGTGCAGATATTCTTTAGATTTGTCCACTTTAATGCTACATAATCAGAGGGGTCAAATACAGCAGTAAGTAATTAGACCGAAGACATTTAGCTTTTCTCTGTAGTTGACAGAGATTGTGATTTTTAAAGGAGGCCTGACAGGAAGTGATATATCACTGGAATGAACAGTGAGAATACATTCACTTCAATTGGCTGATCATTTTGAAGGTAGAAATAATTTTAAATGATAAGTATAATACTGCTGAGTGGCAATAAGATATTTTTCATTATAAATTGACCTATTATAAGTCCCGCCCCCTTTTGCTCCGTGCTCCAATAACAGTTGAGCAAACTTTGTCCTTTCCTGTACTGGGAGCTGGGAATGACATCACACCGAAGTTAACAACGTTCCAGTAGAAGAAGTTGGAAAACCAAGCTGTAGCCAGGTTAGCCATTGTTAGCAATACCAGCTGATAACAATATATTCCACTGTTTGCTCATACAAACAGACAGCAGACAGACGCTGGACAGTACACTGTGTACAACGTGAAGAGAAACAAAAGGCAGAAGTGCTAATAAACAGAATATTACTACAACTTTCACTTAGTTGACGTATAGAGCAGCCATCTTGGATTTTAAGGTCGGGGGTTGGTGACGTTCTTCTGACTTTCTGAGTTGAAAAAAAAACCGACTTCGGGGGCTATGTGCTAGACTCTTCTATGTTGAAAAGCTAACTACATTTTGAAGATGGTTAAAAGGTAAAAGTGACATACAGGTTGTACATCTTAAGTCAGCAAAACGCTAGCTAACGGGGTATTTAATTTACATCAATAATTAGTTAGCTAATGTTTTGCTAATATCAGCAACAATTGATGTGGCTTAGCTAGCTAGTTAGCTAGAGTTTTTCTAACATGAACTAGTTAACTTACGATGTGACTGTATCTTTGAACCCTCTTCGAGATGTGGTTGTTTTGTCAACATAGAAGAGTCTAGCACATCGCATCTCGAAGGAAAGGAGAAAGTTCTGAAGGCTAGCTCGACTGTTATTGGAGCACAGAGCAAAAAGGGGCGGGACTGTAAATACTGTAAATAAAAAGAAAAGTGGATGTAGCAAACGACTCAGCTAAAACACTGGTAATATTTGCAGATACAATGATAGCTTTGGTTTCTGGTTGGATCCGATAAGCTGCGAGGTCCGTAAGATGAAAAAAACCCAACGAGACTGTCCTCCTGTCAGGGTCAGCTTTAGGTTTTTGTAATTCCACCTGGAAATTGTTTTAGGTTGAGGGATGGAGCCGGGGACAGCGACGGCAGGTCAGGGTTTGATGTCAGAGAAGCTGGTGTAGGTCTCACTGCAGCTGGAAGAAGTGCTGAGGTTCCCAGAGACGCTGCCATCTGCAGGACAAACACACAAACAACAACAGTGTTGGCAGCTGTGTTTACACAGAGTGGGAATCCTTATGAAAACAGCTCTATCCGAATAAACTGGCTATTTAAAAATAATATTGTAATCTTAATAATCTTTGACCAGAAGATATTACTAGTTTAGGAACAATAACCCAAAGGCTCAGCTTCCCTTTAAAAGAACTTCAGTAGTAGTTTATTCTGACAGTAATGTTGCTTCAATACAAAGTAAAGCAGCTACAGTGGCAAATGCTTTTGTTTACATCTGATCAATTTATTTCACATTCATATAAAACCATTTCTGGGAGCTGTAGATCAGATTGATTGAATATATGGAAGGAATACCTGAGCTGCTGAGCGACTGGGATGACTTGGACTCTGAGATGAGGCTGAGGAGGTTTGCTGCTGCCACCCAGCCCTCCTTGCTGCTGCGAAGGTTCTTCACAAACCTACAGAGGGTTAAACAGACTCACAATGTTAATATTTATTATATTGCTTCCTTGCTTGGCAGAATTACACATATTTTTTGGGTTTGGGATTACATATTCTCCAAAATTTAAAGATGGCCTAATGAGAGTTGAGTGGCCCTGACTTCAAATTCAAGGACTTTTCAGTGACTTTTGAGAATAAGTCAGGCTGCTTTTATAATCTATACAGTCTTGTTTACACACTGTGGGCTGAAAACCACCAGCTACTGTAGTAACTGTATGAATTAAGGTGCAAAATACCTCCTAGTGTAATCGGATACCTACAGAGAATTCATTGATCTCACTGGATGGATTTCACAACTCTTAATTCAATTATATTCCACCACTAACACAACCAAACAGAGCCCAGGGAGAGCCTTCCTGCAGATATATAATGTATTTTAAAACTGTTGGGACTTCAAACTAATATGAATAATTTTTCAAGTCTGCAGGAAAATGAATTTGGATTTTTTCTGACTGGAGTAAGGAAGATGTTTACCACTGTCCCTCCTCTCCTTCTTTAATTAGCTGGACCATGTCTCCACTCTTGACAGACAGCTCCTGAGGTCCCGCCTTCTCGCAGTCCGCTACCACCGTATACTTTCCTGGAGCCTGAAGGGTCAAAGGTCAGCCAAAGACAGCCAGTGAGAGATTAGGCGATTATGTATTGGAAACAGACACTGATGTGAAACTAAAATACTGTAAAGTTCCTCGGGTTCAGGCTCACCAGCTTCTTTCCCACTTCATCCTCAGGGTCAGAGTTCATGGGGTCCTCGCCGCTGGAGTACCCATCATTCTCTTCCGAGGCATCCACTGAGAGAGACGCCTTGTTCCAGCCTGGAGGTCGGAGGTGCAGAGAGGAGGGAACAGACACAGGTAAGGAGATTTAGAGGCAAAAGAGAGAAGTTGAATATTGTGAATTTAGGAAAAGTGAAATGTAGGGGTTGAATCACACACACTCACACTCCATGTGGCATTAAAATGCATCCTGGGTCAAAGATTTTAAGGCAAAATGTGTACAATTCATCCACAAAACTAGCTTTTCTGTCAATATTAAAGCACGGACAGAGCACACAAAAAGGGCAACATGAATTTTCCCAGGAGCAAACTGAATGCCACTTGGAAAGAGTCACACATACGGTAAATCTCCCACAAAGAGCACAAAACCACAAGATCTTTACTGTCATAACATGTAAGCAAATCAGTACGTTTACACACACTCAAACACACACAAAGATCAAATCAAACTCCTCCAAAATCCCAGAGAAGATCAGTGGAGACAGCAAACAGATCCCAGTGAAACAAACCAAAATAAATCAAGGATTTATTCATGATCAGAGAACACAGAGATTTGAATCACCTGTATTCATTTCAAGGCTGCTCTGACTGCCAGGGCTGAAAAATAAGTAGTTGAAATTGTGCACTAACTCTCATTGTTCTCCACACAATCATTGACCTAAAACACCCCCAGAGTAGAAGAAGAGAGTGACTGATTTGAGGTAGAATAGGTAACTAGTGAAAGACACGGTCATTTAGCCCAGAATTGAGACTTCATGTTTAGAAGTTAAACTGAAAATAAGTTTTTTAAGTAATTGCCAATTTGAAACTCATCTCACGCTAAGACAATAAGACTCAATACGAAGCTAAATGAAAGGAAAGTGGATATCCTTGCTACACTTTACCTAAACTCAACCATGACCACTACAAACCACAGCAAACACCCACAGTGGCTGATCCTCACAGTGGCTCTGTACCTCTCCGCTTGCTCTGTAACAGACTAGAGGCGCTCATCCATTTGACTCTGCTCAGACTGACATGGGGAGCTGGCTCTAGACGGAGGGGGAGGAGAAACAGCCAGCGAATCAGTGAGACGGCTGACCTAGTCCTGCAGCCAGACAGCTTCTGGAGCTGGGTTAGCCGGTTGATCAGCAACGGGAAGAAGATGGGCCTCATGCATGAATGTTCTCTTATTTTTCTCTTATATTTGTTCTTGCACAAAGCAGTAAGAGGAAAATAAGAAAATCCTATGTGGGATTCATGAAACGTCTCGCTGACAGCCAACATCTGAGTTTGTTGGTGAATTGTTTTTAATCTTAAATTGGAGGCACTTGCTAGGAAATGTGCAATTAGCCCCAATAAATCCATATAAGGGCAGTGGACTGGTATACTTATAGAGCACGAAATATACTTTCGGTCCAAGTGAAATACTTTTCGTCATCAGAAAGTGTATACATAGGTTCAGGACCATGAGGACTGAGGTATGATGATTCAATGAATAAAGTACATTTTTCATCTTTATTATTAATATTTCACAGCCCAAAACCCAAGTTGGCTTTTGTGTGTATTGGCTTACGTGTAGTCCAGGGCGCTCCTAAATTTGGATCTTACCGAAGAACAAACGGGAAGTACGCTATAATTGATGAATTCCACAAATGACACGTGAAGTTCCCGAATTGTTTGCACGCGATGATCAAATCTGTACGTACGAACAAGTCATGGGTGAGGCCCATTGGGTCCTTGATGTAGACCGGGAGAAAAACTAAACTAAAAATCCCTGCCATTTGACATACGCAGGGTTTCTTCACTCTCATATGGTTAGTTAAGTAATCAGACGATTGCTCAGTTAGTACATAGATCATTCATTCATTCAGAGACATTTGTTCGGTGTTCCCACAGGAATGGTGACACAAAAGCTTCACAAAGTATTCTGGGAAATACGCTGCAATTTGTTTCTTGCTGATTGTTAAACGAGAAGATTGACGCCACTCTCCTTTCTGTACGGTACATGTGTCGCTGGAGCCAGCAGGCGGTTAGCATAGCTTAGCATAAAAGCTGGAGACTGGGTGAAACAGACTGGCTCTGTCCATATCTGCTTATCCATCGCTGCCTTTGCAACAGTAACCAGGCTAGCTGCTTCCCCCTGTTTCCGGTCTGTGCTAAGATAAGCTAACTCTCAGCAAGAAAGCACATCAGCATATTTCCCAAAATGTCTGCAAGACATATCATTCAGTGGTGATGATGAAAGTGATGACCTGTGAAAAAATGTTGTTGTGCACATGGTGACTGCAGCGTTCAAAGAAACAAATGTACATCACAGAGCATCTGTAGGTTTCAGAAAGCCAAAGAAGACTTTTGGAGACATTTCATTGATCTAAATGTGAGCTAACTGCATTAGCAACAAGATGAAACTACAACTGGTCTGTGTGAGCACATCACATTTCTCTCTACACACATATAAACGTAGGGTGATATAATGAAGGCTTCTATTGCTGGATTAATGTTTGGTATAACATCATATCCAATTTTAAAATATGAGACACAGGTGAAATCTGTATGAAAACACACAGTACAGTTTAGTGGTGAAAGATGAACGATGGGCCTCTAGAATTACACGGCCCCTACTGGGGGACGACAATATACCTTTGAACCCAAACGGTGTGGGATCACTCTTGACCAAGTGGCGTTTGGAGCCGTGCTCGGGGCTCAGGGCCGAGCCTGGCCACACCGGAAGAAAAAAAGAACGAAAAAAGAGAAGGAAGAAGAAGAGAAAAGTGAGAGAGAGGACGGCCTTAGAGAAGCAATAATTTAACCGTTTGCCGTTATATCTAAACCAGTGAGAAGCTTGTAGCTAATGTGACCTCTAGTTTTTAATCATAATCAGGCTAAAAACACACTTACTTAAATAATCATTAATACGGATTTAGACACAGGCATTAACTGATGTACATACAGTGACTCTTTCACCCAGTACTGAAAGTCTGGTGTATCCAGTTCAGTAGGAAACTACAGCAGTGGCAATGTTAGACTTCTACCACCAGGAGGCAGAGTGTGTGCAACATTTAAACTATGATAATCAGTTCAGTGAACTCAACTGTGAATGCAAATTACACTGCAGCAAGCTTTACATTAGGTTATACAACGGGCAATAATTGATCTTTTAATGTAAATACAGCACTGATCAGGCACTGTTTTAAATTCTGTAATGGATATAATGCGGGTTAATTTAGGTTTTATGTATGTACTAATGATAGTGATACTGGTTGTAGGAAAAACACTATACAAATAAAAAAAACATTTGGAAATTGGATTTAAGTATACATTAATGTGGCATTATTATTACTAATATACTGTAGTATAGTAGCATTTTAGATATATATATATGACAGTAAATGTTTCCTAAAATGATCAAATTCTCATCTTAATTGACAAGACCATTTTCAAGTTTATATTTCATCATATTTGTTCTATTCAAACCCCATAAGACAAAGTGTTTAATGTAATGTATGTAACTTTTGTTAAACATCAGCTGTTGTGGTCCAAACAGTGACGATTACAGGATAATGAGGGAATGCTAAAGTGTAGTTTAAACTGACAGTAACGTCAGATACACAACAACATTAGCCACCAAAAGCTCATGTTCATGCCAGACCAAGTAAGACTGAAGCATCATGTTCCTGTTTTAAAAAATCCTCCTCAGGTCTGCTAATGTTACCTTTGGGACTCTTGAGATTGCTGAAGCCCTGCAAAGTAAAACGCTTTTTAGCCACTGAAGACCTGTCAGTGGTCGGACTCGTCACTGGTTCATCTGGAAACGAATGGTTTGAAATGGAAAGCGGGAGGAAAAGTTGCAGTCGTGAAAAAAAAAAAAAAAAAGAAGAAGCCCAAAACAAATAAAGAGGTAGAGAGACAGAAAGAGGAACCATGAAGATGAAGGTGATGAAGAAAAGAAGAGTTCGGGTCAGAGAGGTCACACTGCAACTGTCGCTACGAGTAGAGATAAAACTTTGAAGCCATAGTTGACTTACACGTCTTCTGTCTGAGTGAATACTCACCTTTGTGTTTTGGCGAAGAAGAGGAGTTGTCAGAGATCGTACTCGGCTCCACCTTCTTCTCCTCCTGCTGCTTCTTCTGGTTTTTCTGACTGCTACGGAAGGGACTAGGGGAAAGAGAAGAAAAGAGAAAATGTTCTCATAAATAAAAGGAATCCCATCTGTGGGTATGTGCAACGTTTATAAGGCTGGACACCAACCTCAGGGAGATGGAGGTGTTGTTGCTGGTGGGACTCGGGGAAACAGAGTCTGAGCTCTTCTGCTGACTGGCATCTAAAACAGACAACGGTTAGCTACAGTTAGGAGCAGGTGAAGGGATGAAACTAGCTTATGTGGTTCTGGGTGTCCACGTTACCTCTGCAGGCTTTGAGCTGCTGGGTCAGGACTTTGCGGATCTCGTTTACCCACGTCGTTTTAATCTCTGGTGTCGGAGCCTGAACGAGACAAAACGCAGCATTAATAGCGATACGGTTTCTTCTTCATGTATGGTTGGTCGAAGCTGTGAGGCTGAGCCAGCTTACCTGCACTATAAACACTTCGTCTCTGGAGTTGCACCAAATCTCAAACTTCTTGTTGTCTCCTTTAGCGTTCTCTGTAATGCCCACCGCGCTCATCTGAGAGAGGAAATGAAAGGTTTGCACACAGTCAGCCCGGATCTGTCACTGCAGCAGCCTGTCCATAGGACTTTGTACGAATATTGATCGTCTTTAACCGATGTGAGCTTACACTTAGGGAGTGTTTGAAGCTGTAGGACGGAGCTTTCTCGTAGCCCTCCCCGTTCTCCTCCCTCCTCTTGCAGAAGAGCAGGGCCTTCTCGTGCAGGAACAGGTGCCTCTGCATGGGCTTAAACCGGGCCAGGTCCTTGACCTTGGCGTGACCTTTTTTATGCTCCGTCCACACACTGAAGGAGCCCTGCATCAGCAGGCGACCCAGCTCTGACAGGTTACCCTGAATGAGGGAAAAGAGAGACAAGCGTTTATGGTCTTTCTATTTTAAAAGGCGAAATCTGGTATGGGCAGTTTTACAACATTCATTTACACATCACGTGTCATTTTATCTAGGCTTCGAGGTCAGCCCACTAGCTTGTACATTAATTTGAATTTTGGTTAGAAATCCACACTAGCGCAAGGTTTGATACATAACAAAATTGCACTTTTCTACTGAAATGAGCCAGAATGACAGCTTGTATTTTAGAATTGCTCTGACCTCGTATCCTGTGATGGCGATGAGGTGCATGGAGTCGTTAACGGCTTTCAGGATCCCCAGGATGGAGGAGAGAGCTTCCTGTAGGTCATCGCAGCCATCACAGCCCCTACTGTACTTTAACAACTCCTGCAAACACACAACACAAAGTGGAGAATACAGTGAGTCTTCACAGTCTGACATAAACACACACACAGTATGTTATAGAGAACAGGAACACAGCTCACCTTAAGCAGTAGCTGGTACTTGGTGATTCTCTGGACAGGTTTAAGGAGGTAGGAGTCCAAACCAAGTTTATGTTCCAGCTTCTTCTGGCACTCCTGGTTCAAGCACAAACCAATGAATATATTTAGGAGTTAATCGTTTAATAGGCGACATGAAAAGGAAGGTTTTGCTACATTAGGAGGTGAAAGGGCAACCTGGAAGAAGGCACAGTCGGAGCACTGTCTCCACAGGCTTTCAGACCGAGGTTTATTCTGGCAGTAAGCCTCGTAGATCTGCAGGTCCTTCATCTACGGAGAGAACAAAACAGGTGCAAGGTTGCCAAAATGAACTGATCTCTGTCACTGATATGAATATTTAAGATTGAGATTTTTTAATTTTCTCTGGCCCAGACCAGAGTGGAGGAAGGAAGTGCTCACCCTCTCTAAAAAGCAGCGGCCCACTAGCTCTGGGCAGTCAGTGTACGCTTCCAGCTCCTTTAGAAATGTCCTGGAGACAACACGACACAAATGAGACCACTCTCACATCTGTAAGGTAAACATGAAGCTGGAGCCAGCAGCCAGCTAGCGTAGCTTATAGTAGCATAGAAACTGGAAACGAAGGGGGAAACTGCTAGCCTGGCTGGTAGAAAAAGGTAACGAAATCAGCCTACTGTGTGAAAAAACAGAAAGAGTCTGAAGAAGCCCACCTCTTATGGAACTGGTAGATTTCAGACATGTTGCCAAACAGGACATCCTTCTTGGTGAGCAGGGTGCTGGGGATGAGGTGAGCCATGGCAGGGTTGTCCATCTCTGCTGCATAGCCCTGGAGTTTAATTATACACCTTACATCAACAGATTCACTGAACTTCATCAACGAATGATGGGACAGAAATACGCTGGTACAGAGAATAAACACGTGCTGAATCACTGATCTGCCGACATGATAAGGTGATTATTACATGATTTCATATGTCATTTTCAATTTGTAAATGTACATTTCGGCAGGAATATACTTGAACTGACGTGATGAACACTCACCTCCAGCACACACAGTAGTTCCTCCACGTATGCTCTCTCCGTCTCCAGCAGTTCATTCATAACGTGGCTGAAACACAGAAAAACAAAATACAAACTGAGTTTGCAGAAGCCTGCATGCTGTTGTACTGTAACCCTAACTCCAATGAGACCCCAGTACTGAAGAATTTGGATGCTGATTTATATAAAATACACATTTTATATATCAAAAGTGATACAGACAAAGAAAACATATCACAGTATCACTGTCCATGAACTACTTTCTGATCTGTGGCTCTGAGGTTTTGAGCCCTTACCGCCGAAGCACTGCCAGGTTTTCCTCTTCTTCTGAGAGAGAAGCGTGTCTGGTGCCACCGTTATGTATGGGAGACTCCACCTGGACACACACACAATCATATATAGTATATGACCCCACATACAACAGCATCCAATATTTGTTTGCATTATCAGTATTCAGTCATTTACCTTTTTGCAGATGGCATTATCTGCAGAGTATCTTCTCTCTTTTCTCTGTTGATCTGGGCAGAGAGAAAACAGTGTTTTATTCCTTTACACCAGCGAGATGAGGCCCTGATACATGCCGCTCTCTTTCATTAAATCAGTTCATCTTTTAAATCAGGCTTACTGGGAGACGAGAGTGGGGACTTCACTTCAGGCCTTGGTGCTACTGGCTGCACTGGTCTGGTCTGTTTGGCGGCAAGTTTCTTCAAGCTAACCCGTCTCTTCTCAAACATCTCCTGGACGGAGCTTTGCTTCTGGAAAACTCTGTCTACCTGGTCCTGATGGAGACCAAACACGACCGTAGATATTGCATTAAATTTATTGAAAAAAGGTTTGAACATCATATGGCATCATGCATAAAAAATGTCAGAGAAGCTCTTCCTACTGACCCTGAGCTGAGTAGTGAGCGTCGCCTCATACTGGCAGAGGATGGCACTGCGGTCGGCGAGGGTGTGTAGCGGCGCTGTGTCCAGGTAACGCTCCAGTTCTTGCAGAGCAGCTTCGGCTCCATCCTGAGACTGACAGCGGTCCACTGGCTGGCTGGCCAACAGGAAGATGCCCTCCTCACACCACCGTGATGCCTGGGAGGAAATAAACGCGAAAGTTCCCTCATTTATTACTTAGCTCCAAAAACTGATAACACTTGAATTTTTGAGGATGACGGGATGTGTGATGCCAATCTGAGCCACACTCGTACCTTTTCCAGAGCGCTGTGGAGCTCCATCGCCCTGAGCAGGAGGCTCTTCTTGCTCCTCAGAGTGGAGCTGATCTCCTCGCACACTTCCCTCAGCTCGCTGCACTTCGGCCTGATGGAGTCCTCGGCGTAGTGGGAATTTTCTATCAGCCGGTCACCTTCGTTGGCCAGGGACAGGGCGCAGTCCAGCACGTCCTATTGAAACACATTGAAGATGTTTTTTCTTAATATGAGAATACACTTTAGCATGCACAGAGAATACTGACTTGTCAGCTAACAGCAGTGGACACATCGTTAATCAGTGGCTGACAATAAACCAACCCCACCACCTCCTCCTCCTCCTCCTCCTCTTTCTCAGTCCACTCTCTCTAAGTAGACTGTTCATTACTTCATTCTGGATGGAGTGGGACAGCTATATTGTACAAATAAGTTAACCTCTTTGGGTTTTTAAGACCGACATCAGTAGTGTCGCATGTGAAGCTATGCCCTGTGCCAAAGTGCAGAGCTGCATCTTTAAATGTTATAATTTTCACATCAGAAAGTCCAACATGTGAGTGTCTGAAAGATTCAAAATTAATCAAACAGAATGGAAACCATCATAGCTGAGTTGGACAGCAGATCTGACTCAAATATAATATCAGCCTATACAGTATATTGGTTCACTCCTCACATCCACACACAGGTGCTCTTTCTACCTCCCTCACGGTCTCTCTGTCTCACACCTATTTCCCAGTGAGTGGGGGATGGCACAGGGCATGACATTGATTATATCATTAGCCATATGGCTTCAAGGATGCGTCAAAGGTGAAAGTGTTGACTGTGTGTGTTTTGTACCACGTGAGCTGCAGAATGGGAGTGTGTGTGTTTGTGTCTTACACAGGCCCTGTCCTCGTGGCCGCTGAGCTCTCGAAGGACATGCTCAGCATGGGCGGGGCTTATGCTGACCTCAGAGAAACCCGACAACCGCTCTGATGTCACATCAAGCTGGGCGCGCACCTACGAACACACACATTGTTAATGGCGTCTTATCAGGTAAGGCTTTTGGCTAAAACCACATTTCCCATAACTCAACTCTACTCACTTCACGGAAGTGCTGTTCAAAATGGCGAAGCTGTAAACACTGTTCCAGCTTGGTGCGGTGACGCTCCCAGAAATCATCAAACGCCGTCTCCGTCTCGTCCAGCTGACCCAGGAGTCTGAGAGGAGAAAGGAGTGGTTTATTCATGCGTTCAGAGACAACTTCCTCATCCATTCATGCATCCATTCATCCCTCCCTCTACCTCTGTACAGTAGCTAAGTTCTCCAGTTCATCGTAGGTCATGTTGTACTCAGGGTCTGTCTGTAGAGGCTCATTGATACACTCCAACAGGCGTCCCCCTTGAGACAGCGCCACCTGCAGGTCCTCCTGGAAAATTAACAGATCATTTTCTTTAACACTCAGGCTCTCGGGGGACTGTGAACATGCCTCAGAAGAGAGCTGTCTCTACCTGCCTTAAAACGTTTCACCTAATATCTATGAGAGAAAGACGTGAAGTACAGAGATACAGTTGGTTAACATGTATGGAAAAGACAGAAAAGCACATCTGACCTTCATTTTATCCTTCTTCCGAGTGTGTGTGTGCAGCAGGTTGGTGGTGGCCTCGGTATCGTTGGGTAATTCTGTCTCCGCAAGCTCAGTGCCGAACGCCTGCAGGGTCTGAGCTGTGGTCTTCACCATGAGGGCAAACGCCTCGATTGCCTGTGGAGGAGACAGTTGGGTAAGTATAAATTCACAAAGGTCTATAGAAGTGCATACAAGTGGAGAATGTCTTTTTGTATTATGTTTTATGATATGGAATACTATCCCATGTGCAAAATAACTGTACATACAGTGCGGTGTGAGATCCAGCTGTCATGGCAGTACTCCTGCGTGCCTCCCAGCTCTGTGGTCAGTTGTCCTGGGTCAATATAGGCGTGGAGCTCAGTCACCGAACTCAGCATCACCACCTGATAAAGCACACACAGTCGAGTATTATTTGTGAGAAGCTGATCCAAAATAACTTAAAAGACACATATTATGATAAATTCAAACAGAAAGTAACATATAATATAAATCACCTTCATTTTGAACTCATCCTTGTTGAACTTGAACAGGAAGTCTGACAGAGTCCGCTGGAGCAAAGTAGTGGGACGCAACACCAGAACCAAGTGCAAGTTCCCTGGAAATGAACCCTAAGACAGAAAAGGGAGGGGTAGAAAGGTTTTAGTGTTGTTAGTTTGTGTATCTTTCAATTTTAGAAAAAACGAGGTGTGGAAGGTGATCTGCATCAGTTTACATTTTGAAATTCAGGCCATGGGTGCTTAAATGTATTTTAATATACCTGCTTTCCTCCCTTCTATGCATTCATTTTCTGTCCCAGTTACATAAAAATAAAAATGTCTTTTAAAAAAAGTATCAAATAATATAACTGAACCAGACAAAAAACAACTTTTATCCATGAAAACCACACCCAAGACGATGCTTTATCACCACTATTCCCACTGAAAAGCTTTAGCTCACAGTCCAGATTTTATGTTTTTTCTATAGCATTCATTAATTGGAGCATTAGAGCTGCTAATGGTTATTTATCAGCACTTTCAGTAAATGAAGGAAAACCCTATCAGGAGTCCTGCTGTAAAGGTATGGAGGTGGACTGAGCCCACGTGTGTAACACTTGTCCCTCTGCTGCAATCCTGAACCAACCATGAAGAGAGTTTTTATGGGATTTAATATCCACTAAATCTCCTACATCTCTTCACAGTTGTTCCCTTGTTGCACCCCCGTCTATAAAGCTGTGACTACAAGGTAAATTAGTCCTGTGACTCTGGTAGAAACCACAGTCTGTCCCTCCGCCTCCACACTGACAGGTTAGAGGCGTAGAATTGCCTTTACACAGACAACACAGACCCAGGAGGCCACTCAGCCGAAATGCTATATTGGTTACGGCTTCCTCTAAAACCCTGGGTGCATTGCTCCACCCTGTTAGGCATCATAAATCGATGTAGGTTGACACACACATACACATACACACACACACACATACATACACAAACACAGAGGGCCAGAGGCAAGCTCAGAGATGTGCGACAAGCTCATGAAATCTTTAGTGTTGCCTTAAATAACGTTTATGGTAGAAAAATATGAAAATATTTAGACGTTTGAAGGATTTTTAAAAAAACCTTTTTTGCTTAGATTGTGTTTTTACACTGCTTTTGTTGAGGATCACCTCCCACTCAGACAACACAGGCATTCCTGGTGTTTCCTGGCTTTTCTGCTAATGACATTTTAGCAGTAGTGTCTATTGCTGGGTTTATAACATCTTTATTTATAGGTTTATTACATATTCGACCCATTTAAAGGGGCGTTTTTAAACATTAAGACACAGATTATATTGCACATGTAAGGAACAACATACTAACTGGTATCCACAATCTCTACAAAATGGTGCCATCCGAACGACCCTATCCTCCATCACTAACTGATATTCATCCGAATCACACGGAACATCCCATAAAAACAGACAGCGCGAGCGCTTTGATAAAATACCGCACATGGCTTTAATTCAGTCTACAAGGAGACCTGCACTCACACAGAGGCGCGCATACACATACATCATCGTCATGAAATGCCTGCACGGCGTTGCCATGGAAACCATTCTCCTTGGAAAACCGCATGGAGGGAGATGGAGAGGGAGAGAGAGAGAGAGAGCAGAGAGTGCATGACGGAATGCAAGTGAGAGTGATGATACAGAGAGACAGAGTGTGTGTGTGTGTCACATTAATGGAGAGTAGCTGATTTCTGTCTGTGTGGAGGAGTCTTCTAAAAGTGTCAAACTCCACTCTGCTCTTCCAGTCATTTATTTTTGGCTTGCTTACACACACACACACACACACACACACACACACACACACACACACACACACACACACACACACACACACACACACACACACACACACACACACACACACACACACACACACACACACACACACACACACACACAGACTGCCTGCTGTGATGTTGATGAAAGACAGCCAGGTTGGAAAATTTAACGCTACTTTCCAATTCCCACCCAAACTGACAGCATACGTTAAATAACACATCTGCAGATTATAAACTGTAGAATAAAACCGCACTAAAACCCATGTAAGCCAACATGTATGACTGCATGTTTACATATTATATTTGTATTCTTCTATTGAGCTAGCTAAACGACAACACACCCTAAAAAACACACTGAGCAATCTATCTGTAATTGGTACCCATTAAATTCAATAAACCCTGAGAGGTCTTGCTTTAATTTGTACCTCTGCATTAACATGATAATACACAATCTGCTTGCTGCATTCCCCCGACACACACATGAACACAGACATGCTAATGCGCATACACATCCCTGGACACACTCTTGTACATTAAAGTGATGCATGCACACACACATACACACTTCTCACAGATAAAAAGCACACATAAATAAATGATAAGGATTAGAATATCATTTTCTGTTGACCAGGGTGATTTATATTCTGCCAGTGAGGACGCAAGGAGGAAGCTCACTTCATGTCCTCCTAATGACATCCACATTGTTCTCCTGGGAGTTGGACAGCCACCATATTAAACCACCTCCCTCCACATGCTCAACCCCCCCTCCATACATCTCACTGCTTTTGATTTTGGACATGAAAGGAGTCCCAATTATGACAAAGAGATTCAAAAGTGAATCTTGACTGAGGCTGCTGCACCTATAACTGCTTTTTTTTTAGCCGGTTGTAACAAATTCAAGCCTGTTGTTTGCACCGGCTGATGGAGCCGTCTGTGCCTTTGCCCTGCAGCAATGCTCCTGTATGCTTGAATGGCCGCATATTTATTACCCTAAATCACAAAGATGAGCCGCAACAGAGATGAAGGTGTCCCATTATCATTAGATTGCAACACATGTGGCTTCACCCTCTTTACTCTAATTCAATTCTCCTGTTTGGATGGTGGATCTACAGTAAGATGGCGGAGTAAATATGGACGATTAAGTGGTAAAGCATCCAGAAAGGATACTAAAATGTTCACTAATAAGAGAGGGAACAGTTCAAAGCTGTCTTGATTTATTGGGGAGCCACAATAGACGACTGTTGTCCACTCCATGGAAGCAAACTGTTGCTTTAATTCTCTGGTTGCTGATTAAGGCTGGTAAAGGTTATAAGTGACTGGAATGGCCCTTTACAGTAATTCCATTTTGTGGAAATATTGTAAACAAATGATATAATGCAATTCATTTCAGGTTAGAGAGTTAGAAACTCACTTTATTTAAGGCTCTACTTGGAATTTCATTGTAACTGTCAACTGGAGGTCATCCTAATTTGTATTTACCACTACAGCACATCACTGCACATGAGACTAAAAACCGCTGGTCGGCTCCGTCTGTGGATTGTCACTGCGGGAGCATCTGTGTATGTGCTGTACACTAATCTATGGCTTTACATGACAATACTGCCCACTCCTCTTTTTGTTTCCTTTCCAGCAAATGGCAGCGGGCGACCTTGAACGGCCTTGGTTATAGCAAGCGCGTCTCACGGGAAGACAAACGACCTTCATTCTCCAGCAAGACCGCGTGCCATTGGCTGCCGGTGGACAGAGCAGGCGTGCCCATGGAGGACACCCACCACAGGGGAGTGAGGAGGAGAGCATGTGAGACACTCCTCCCGCCACCTGCTCTTCATGCCTTCAGGTTTAGTTGTAGCGCTGCCTGCTTTCACCATGGACTTCTTGGGAGAACAATTCACACACATTACTGGATGTATTCTGCTCCCCCTACATGAAACCTGCAAAGGATTTAAAGGACCTGATAAGGACCTGACTTTGCAAAGAAAAGACTGGATTTAAGAGGCTTTTGTCTCTTGAATCTGATGGTTTTCACAGAAGGATAATGTATTTGGATCTAATATATAGTTAATGCATTATTCCTTCTTGTTCTCTCTGTTTCATGTCATCTGTGTGCAGCCGTTTGTGTTGATGGCACTTTAATTGCTTGGAATTCCGTAAGATGCCAGGTCCACCACCAACAAGATTATTATTCTCTAACCAGCTGGCAGGTCAGCACGGAATTTGTTACATGTTAAATAGGAAGCTATAGAATTAAATTCAACATGATAATCCATGACAGAAACACACATGTGCAGCTTAACTTTAGGAAACAGGAGCCCCAAATCATCTTACCATTTTCTTTGTTAGCAGTAATAATAATAATAATAATAATAATAATAATAATAATAATAATAATAATAATAATAATAAAGATACATGAACAGGCATTTCAAGTACAGCTGAAAATAAAACTACAGCGTTCCCAGTTGTTTCAAATGTTACTTTTCAAAGAGCTGTGTGGGAAGGGAAGCAGAGGAGCAGAGAGGCAGTAGAGGCACAAAAGCAGAACAAAGAGGAGAAGTAATGGGTGTAAAAAAAAAAAAGAGGACAGAGAGGTGATCAGCAGGAGAGGTAAAGGGAGGATGGGAGATCCTGCAGAGAAGCTTCTGCTATCACGCTGATAAACTCCCATCTACCTGTACATCATACTGCAGGGTTTCTACTGGGTGTGAGACACATTTTACCTGACTGTAGTTTTATCACTATTGTCTTTTATCTTTCCTTAGTTTTATTGTGGTCAATGAGAGCAACGACAAAGCACAGATGGCAAGAATGTATCTGAAGAAGGCAAAAACATTTCAGGGAAGCATTATTTGGGCTTCAATCAAGTGTTGGAACTAGCAGATACTGAATTTATACTAAAGGTACATATATCAATCAACCTAAAAGCTTCCTTAATGGAAAACTATATATTAATTTTCTTGCCGAGAGGAGATCGATACTATTCTCATGTTTGTGCATTAAATATAAGACTATGGCCAGTAGCGTGGCATAAAAACTGTAAAAAAAAAAAAAAAAAAAAGGGAAACAGCTAGTCTTACTCAGTCCAAAGGTAACATAAACCACCAATAAGCATCTCTACAGTTCACTTATGAAATTCTTGTTTATTTAATCAAATAAAATCTGTGGATTATGCCAAGACTCCCAGAAGTCACTACAACTGGCCAAGAAATAGTCCCACACATAATGCCGCTAATTTACACTTCAGTTTTATATGGATTAAACAAATGAGATATAGCATGTTCATTAGTGAGCTTTACTGGTGTTGGTAGGTTGAATTCGTATCCTTTGGACAGAGCCAGGCTACCAGTTTGCCCTCTGTTTCCAGTCTTAATGCTAAGCTAACCAACTACTGGCTCCAGCTTCATATTGAACCGAAAGCTATGAGAGTGGTATCTTCTTTTCATCTAACTGTTGCTAAGAAACTTAATAGTCATATATCCTAAAATGTTGAACTATTGCTTGAAAGGGAAAATCAGTTTCTTGTGATTAGTATCAATTTTTGGAGGGCATTTGTGCCTTTATTAGACAGAATGACAGCGAAGAAGCACACAGGAAGTGTGTGTGTGTGTGGTGGGGGGGGGTATGACATGCAACAAAGGTCACTTATTAGAATTGAACCAGCGACATTGCAGTTATGTGGCATGAGCAGTAACCATTCAGCTACTAAGGCACGCCAAACAATAGTATTATTAATAATAATAATATTTAGAATAATAATAGTATAATAATTAATTAATTATTAATTAGTATTAATAATAATTAATTACACTGACAAAATGGTAATATATTGTCAGTCACCAGATAATAAAAACATAAAATGACTTTGGTTTAGTGTTCGGTGAACTGTTCTGAATCTAGTCATCTATTCACAATGTTCACACTTTGCCTGTAAAATACTGTTTCCATATATCTTGGTTGGTTTTTCATTCTTCCACGTGGATATACAGTAACACTAATCAAAAACAGACAGGCAACTACTGATTGGTTCCCTACTATCACAACAACCCACAGTCCATCACCGTCCATTTCAAGGACATGGACTGAGCCAATGGACTTGAATAAGATAACAGACCTGGAATGGTCCATTGTGACTGGTGGGGGAGTACCTTGAGTGTGTAGATGTTTGTGTGTACAGATTAAACTGGCATGGCGGAGTTCAGCCACTAAAGAAAGGAGCTTCATAATGAATTATTGTCACAGTGGGGATAGTTTCTTAGAAATACTGGGAAGACCATCAGGTTTGATGATAATCATTGTCCAATTAGCATATTTTAGCATATATCTGCATATATTTAACACACTAAGCAGTGTAATACAGGAAGAGCATTTTAACAACAGCTGTGTAGGGTGTGATGAGGCTTCATCCTCGTGTTGGCAGAGCTGGTTAATCATGATTCAAAGATGGAGTGTATGGAGGACAACGTAAAAATCAAGGAAGCCAAAAAACTAGAGCCAAACCAATATGGGATTTTTGAGACGATTCCAATATTAGAGGGGAAAAATTCACTGTTTACCAATATAGTGGCCAATAGATTAAATATTTGAGCCGGAATGTAAATAAACCTTATCTATGTGGATTATGCATCAATTTTGCACTGATATGACTATGCAAAGATAGCCAGAAGGCTGCCTCCTTACACAACTAACTCTATTAAAGAACATTTAAATGTAATACAACTGTACTTAAACTGGTTATGAAAGAGTTATGAAAGAGTCTCAATTTAATAGTGATACCTCTGTACGACCTACATAAACACACAAGACCATCAGTGAGAAGATTGGCTATTTCAATATAGTTATTCTTAATGCCTGCAACTGGGTCGGGTTCAGTCAGATTCCCATTGAAATCAATGAAACAAGGTAGTGGAAATAATGCCGCTTTTGTCCACAGGGGCCACCATAATCAACCCAAAATGGAAGTTCCTTGTAAGGGCTTTCAGTTAAATATTCTTTAACATGTTCAATAATTTAACATAGAGGCTACACCATCAACCAATTCTAGAAATTAACAAAGAAAATAAAGAGCAAATAAAATAAATAGCTAAACATCATTCCTGTAAATACTACAGGTATTTCTTTCTTCCTTATATTCTGGAAAACAATTTTCATATCAGATAACATATACACCGCTACCAATATGATACCAATATGTTCCTAATATATCCATCAGGTTCTACAAAAAACGATCAATGAATCAATACAGTGTTCTGTATACCACACACTTCTTTCAGATATAGCCGTTTCCTTTCCATTTTTTCATATTAAGGGCCTCAGAGAGCAGCGATCAGTAACTAACAAGTCTGTCTGATGTAAATACTCCACTCCTCTGCCTCTCTCTGCTGTTTTATCTTTCTGTTCATGATTCTTTTCCCTCTCTCCCTCTTTGCCTTCTCCTGTTTCATCACTCCCCTCCTCCCCTCCATCTCCCATGGATCCCTTCTATTTCCATCTTCCTGCTTCACTCTTTGTCATCCTAGAGAAGTCTAAGAAGTCCAAGAAGTAGGCTAGTAGGCTAATGGCACACAGATACAACGCTGATGGTTTGAATGAGACTTATAGCTCACACAGTTCGGACTTCGTATATCTAACAGGACAGAATCTCACTGCACACACACGCACACACTATGCTCACACGTTGTGAGACTCCACCAGCCGCTCCAGCATAATACGCTATTTTTAACTCCCCTCCTGCTTCGTTCCAACAGTCACCTAATTGCCAGTACACGTCCTTCATATGCACACATAGGGAATAAAAGCAAACTAAGCTAAAACACGCACACATAATGTACAGTTTGCACAAGCTAGCTAATGCACATGCAAAACCAAAACATCTATTACTGTAAGTGGTGGCAAACCAAATTACACACACACACAGCTGACACCAGCAACTACACCCACAGACCCATGTTTAAACAGGCATTAACACGTGTAGAGTAACGCACACAACCACCAAAACAGCCATTTGTAGTCATCAGTCATCAGCAAATGATGCACACACACGCACAAACACACAGGGTCTTACAGCGATGCGGAGCAGGGTAGCCCTGACGGTGGCCCATCGGTCCAGTCGTCTGTCGATGACCAGGATGAAACCCACTCCCGATGCTGCAACGCTGCAGGAAAGAAGCACACACTGTTATTACTGCCAGGGAAACCACTTTTGTGTGTGTGTGTGTGTGTGTGTGTGTGTGTGTGTGTGTGTGTGTGTGTGATTTTGCAAACCAGGTTTAAGTAGAAATCTAAGGTCTAGACATCAGGTCAAACTAATATTTGTGGCACAAGGGAACTTTATGGAGCATATGGATGTGATGTTTGGCTCAAACCAGGTGTCCCATAGTGAACTCCAGGAATTCCCCAGCAACATTTATGCCCCATTAATTGTATCAGTCATGCATTATGCTAATCACACAACATATATGTATTATACTGTACATATATACTATAAGAATGACTTCTAATCCTCAAATAAGTTGCACATTTTAAAAAATATCTCCATCTTTGGTGCTGATCCCCCATTGCTATGATATTCCTGCACTGCATTTCCCAGAGATCAATTGTCTCTCCAACAGTGTGGCAGGCGATGTGATTCAACAACAATATAAATCACATCATTTTCAGTTTACTGTACAGTAAAGGGCTGCCACTCACTGCCCGGTTAGAGCTTTCAGCTGAAGCTCTCATTAGCTATCATCAAGTTGGGTCACTATAAGTGACACATAATATTAGAATATATATATATAGTTATTATATTTAATTTATAAAATTATACAAAAATGACGGGACTTTGGTGGTCTTCGCTGGTCTTCAAGATCTTAATTTTGGATTAAAAAGCAATGCTAAGAAAGGTTAAAACCTTGGTACCCACTGTCTGTTGCAATCATTTGTCATCAGTGATGATTATGAGAGACCCTTGTGATTACCATGGCAACCTTGGCTCTGTGCTGTTATGTGTGTGTGTGTGTGTGTGTGTGTGTGTGTGTGTGTGTGTGTGTGTGTGTGTGTGTGTGTGTGTGTGTGTGTGTGTGTGTGTGTGTGTGTGTGTGTGTGTATGAAAATCTTGCCATTCATTCCACAGGCAGTGCCATATGTAGCAGCCTCATTAAGCTAATGTGTGTGTGTGTGTGTGTGTGTGTGTGTGTGTGTGTGTGTGTGTGTGTGTGTGTGTGTGTGTGTGTGAATGCAGTATTTTCAGTAAAGGTCCTGCTGGACAAACTGACATGCATCCTGACACTTAAACACACAAGCAAAACGGATGAATCCACACACACACACACACACACACACACACATACACACTGTGGGGCCAACATACGAATACTGCTGAGCTGGTCCATCTGCGCGTCATTATTAGCCAATTTTCATCATCACACACACGTATACATGTCAAGAAAAGGAACGCTACCCAGTGAACGCTGTGACAGCAAATCCTCAATCCATCCCTACTGGAGAAGATAGTCGAACCACATAAATGAAGCCGGCTGAACGGGGGAAATCTTTGCTATTCCAGGACAAAAAAAAAAATCCTCAACATCCAATGGTTATCATCCTGCAATAATCCACTCCTCTTGGATTCTCCCTTATCCCACTGTTGTCAGTGTTCCATTCCTGCATCCACAATCATCTGTTTGCAGCCCGCAGATGGAGAGAGGTGACCGTTCACATCCTTAAAGAGCATCTCCCTCCTCCTCTCCCTTCTCCCTCTGCTCCTCCACCACCTGCTTCCCACCCTTGGCCAATCAAAACTAAGCCCCGCATCTTGCTGTTCTCCCACAGCCAATCGGAGCCCAGAGTGCAGCCGATTGGCAGCTGGGTGCAAATAGCTGGTGGGGAGAAAGGGAGGGGACTCAGAAGAGGGGGGTGTGGGGGGGGTGTATGAAAGGTGATGAGCCTCGAGAAAAAAAAAAAAAAAAAAAACTGAGGCCGCCATGACACACCAGCAAGTGCACGTATAGATATACAGACGCATACATCTCCATCCTTTCTCCTCCCCTTAATTATGTGTTTGTATGCAAGAGCGCACGTGTGTGTGTGTGAGTGTGTGTGTGTGTGTGATGGGAGTGCAGCACTCAGCAGTGCAAGAAAGGTGAAAGAAAGGGAGGGGAGGTGAGAGGGAGGAGGGACAGAGAGAGGGAGGAGAGAATAAAGGAGGAGAGGAGGAGACAGGGCAGAATGAAGAAAAGGAGGTGTATATCATGATTTAATTTGAATTTAATTAGCAAAACAAATTGAGTTACATTCAACCTCAAGCCACGTCTAAAATCTTTCTTTCAGGGTTAGGGTTATTGTGGTAGTTTATTTTGAAAAATACTTACAATTACACGCAAATCCAATCTATATCTATATTAAGACCATCTGATTTTAATTGGGAAGTCTCTATTAAATATTGTTTTTTTATTTTTGGTTCTTCTGTGCAACTGTTTTTTTTTATGATTCATTTTTCTTAATTCATTTTTCATTCTCTCTAAAATCCATTTCTATATGTCTTTTGTGGCTCTTTCCTTATTACAGGCCTGCCTTTGGTATTGTGCTGACATCTACTGGCTCCACAGGGTACTGCAGCTCCACAAATTGGCCAGATTCCCTTCACAGTTTGTTTGTTGTCAAACCAAATGAAACTACGGGAAAGCATGGTGTGTGTGTGTGTGTGTGTGTGTGTGTGTGTGTGTGTGTGTGTGTGTGTGTGTGTGTGTGTGTGTGTGTGTGTGTGTGTGTGTGTGTGTGTGTGTGTGTGTGTGTGTGTGTGTGTGTGTGTGTGTGTGTGTGTGTGTGTGTGATGCCAACCTAGGGACGCTGGTGAGGTAGCCGAGCACATTCTGGACTTCCTCTTCCTCCAGCTCGCTGAACTCTGGGAATTCTGGGAAGATGATGATGGGGCTGCCATTCATCCCACGTCCGCCTGGAGACACAGAGGTGAGGGGAAAACAGAAAGAGATGAGGCGATGTCAGCCTGAGGTTTTGGCATGTTGGTGATTTTATTGACATTTCACACATACACTGATCAAAAATTGTGTTTAATGTACATCCACTTGGGTTCCACTCTATAATTAAAGAACTTCCAATAAATAACTGAATAGCCGAGGACATGCAAAAACTGTAACAAAAGTACAAAATCAAATAGGGCCTCACACACACATACACTCGGCTGTCTCTTATGTTGGCGGGGTCGTATTGCAGAGCAAATCAACATGGTGATGAATTATTCACATGCCGTCACTGGGCGGGCATTATCGTCATGGAAACCAAACACACAGGGCCCAACGTGTGTGTTTCTGTGTGCAACAATGTGCATATGTTTTTCTTTTTCTTTCATGTTGCTTTGTGCATTTCATCTGCAAGTGGTTGGTTGTACAGGCATAAATAAGGGATTGGCTTATAGACATCCAGTCAAATAAGTTTGGGAGGAGTCGGGTGACAGTAATCCTAGAAAGTTATGTCCATTGCAATGGATCGGGGATCTGAAGGGCTCCCAACACATATTCAAACAGATAATTCTCAAATGTGCAGAATAATCTTTGAAGTGGTGCCACTTTAAAGTCTGTGGACTGGGAAGAAGTGGAGCTATTTCTGGAATCCGGATGACAAAACTGTGTTACATGTACGGTACATTTTCCTGCCACCAGACAGACACACTCAACTTTGCTCCATTTTTGTCAGTATTTGATAAAAGGAAAAGCGGCCGAAACTGTGGACTGCATGAGATTATGCTAAGAATATCCACAATGCAACAGGAGTAATGAGTAAAATCAAATTCAGGATCAAATAAACCCTAAATGAGACTGTAAAGAGTGTAGGTCTGTTGCATTATGTTAATAACCCCAATTTGCTCCATCCTTATATAAAATCCCCCTTTACTTTATTGAATGTGTTTTTGCACCAACAACCCAATTCTCCAATCTAATCTAATCCACGCTGCCTATCTGGAAACAAACACAGATCTATTTTGAGTTACTAGTTCATCCTGAACTTCATCACTTTACTTCACTGTAAGTCTAACACAATAATTTAACAGAATTACATTGTTTCATATAATTGCATTTGTTAAGCTAATTCAAAATCTTGGGTCAACTTGGACTTTTAATTATGTAAAAATGTAGGAAAAAAAGCTGCATCAGTTATTTTGTTAACCCATTTGAATAACGACTATATTTAGTATGTTAAGGAAAAGACCCACAGATATTTTTCTGATGAGGTGGAACACAAAATCAATTTTTCACATATTTATCATGCCTTAATTGATAAGTTGACTCACTTTAAAAAATGCAATACATTGGATCAACATGTACAATAAGGTCAATGAGCACATATTATTGAAACTGAGGTTGTTCTGAATAAAATGGTATTAAGCATTTGTATAACTCCCTATAGTTTTTGGGATACAGCCTTTTCTATAATCTATTTTGTAACAGTCCAGACTGTGTGACTCAAAAATGATCTAGATCTAAAGATCTAAAATTCCTGACCTATAGAGGTGTATTCCTGAAAAAAAAAAGAAAAATTCCTCCTTGTGACTAACGACTAAATGTTGAGAACAAATTGTGCTGCAGTCTCAAACTCAACTTCAGTGGACTGGAAATAATAAAATTGCACTGTGGACATTGCTTGATTTGGTTAAATTAAGCATTTCTTGCAAGCTATTTACCACTGTTACACCATTACATGAGAAAATAGGGTTATAGTTGCAGCAGGCTGTAACACTGGTTCACGCATTGCCCCCCACCCCATCCCCACTGTGTCAGCAGGGACAGAAATCACACCGACCTGGCAGGATGGCAAACTGTTTCTGGAGCTCGGAGCCAATTTCTGCTGCACACAGAGGACCATCCTCCCTCTGCAGGATGTCATCTGAGGAAAAAGAGAGAGAGAGAAGGAGATCTATTCATCAAACTCTCCACACACATCCTTACTACTTATTATCACCCCATAAAGCTTGTTGGAAGTTCTCAGCTCTTTGCAATTAAAGACAGCTGATTGCACTTCTGAACCCAGAGCTGAGCGACTGAATAGGCAGTAGTTAATGTGCCGTTTATTCCGTTGGCTGACGAGGTTCAGCGACTGTTATAAAAGGTCAAATGGTATCAGACGACAAAGATGAAGAAGAAAAAGGAGGCGTTAAATGAGGCTGTTGGGGAGCAGTGTGGCTGATAATGGAGCCAACAATCCAGTGTGACCCACTTTGGTCTTTATAGCCAACAGCTGACCTTTTTATTACCAATACATGTAATTCAATCAGCTTTATATAATATAAACTTGTTGGCTACCTATTGGTGTCCAACTATCCAACAATCACTGCCTTGGCAACCTTTCTGAGCCTCGTTACAAAATAATACACCGTTATGCATAAACTGGGACTATATTGATTTAAGGAGTGATTACTTTCTTGAAGTAAGGAGGGAAGATGGAAATAAAGAGGAGAGTGAAAGGGAAACAGAGGAGAAAGGGAGGAGGAAGGGAGAAAGCGAGGCAGAGACTCTAACAGGGGATGAACTAAACAGCATTTGGATTCTCTCTGGTCAAGCTGGATTATAGTAATCTCATTTAGCCCTCCGAGACATGTAGAGACGGAGAAATATAGAGACGGAGAAATACAGAGACAGAGAAAAAGCATCCATCGCTCCACCCATTTGGTTGCCATGTGTGACCCATGTGTGCCAAACACAGGGAGGAGAATTGTTAATTGTGTATGATCACGTGTCCATCTGTGAATGAAAGCTGAGAATTTTTACTGTGTGTAAAGGAGCATCGCCGTGTGTGCCTGTGTGCGTGTGTGTGTGTTTGCTGCATATAGACAAAGGCTGGCGCTGAGACTGGTGTGAGGGAAGTGTGGCGCTGAGGTTTCCAAGCAGTATGGTCGGGCTGGCAGCGAGAGGCATTAATTACCATCGCAGTGCAAAACCAAGCAAACTGTTCCCAAATTCCCCCACATGAAGATATAAAGACAGCATGCTTTAATGTCATTGAGAATAATCGTTTTGAGTGACTGTTGAAGGAGGGAGAAATGGAAATGGAAGGCAGACTTCTCTAAGACTCTCAGAAGAGACAGTTAAGGTCAATCTATAGTTTATCTAACCTTTTGAGAGTGTTGAATGTCAGGTAAGCAGATGTGTGATGTGGAAGCCTGCAGTGCACGTTCACTGAGAATGAATTTTTCAGTCAAATAGGAGAGGAAATTGAACTTTCAAATAAACAGTATTCACACATTCATACAGATTCATAGCTTATTATAAAGACGTGTGAATTGACTTGGACCCAAAAGACTAAACAAGACTAGGTTGAAACCTAGTATAGTATATAGCGGGACTGGTTAAGGTCAATGTGCTCCAGAGGACGTGATTGAGGACTGTCCACACCTATTCATTTTGAAACAGCAATGGCCAGGGGTGTGACTTTAACCTTTTGCAAGATTGCGGTTAAATAAAAGGCTAATGACAAAAGGGGAGACCAAAGCAACCCACACAACACACAAAGGCCACACTAAAGCATTGTAAGTGATCATCCAAATAGCATTCTCTATTACAAATACAATCTTTTACGAGGTATTCTACAAGAAATCTGCATGTTCTGATGTTTGTTAGTCGTTTCCTTCATTGATATTGGAAGTCTGTAAACTGTGGCACTGAGGACGCTGTTACGTTCTTCAGCAGCTCCATATGATGAAGAAACCCGACAGATTAAGAGCTTAGATCCTCGGTAATGCACGGTGTGTATTAAGCATACCATTGGCTAGACAGTGACTCACACCACACACTGCAGGTCTCATGTCTCCCGGTGTAGTCCGCACTTAGAGCAGCATGTGTGAGAGGGCCGGCAGCTGCTGTTCTACAACGATTAAAACAGGCAACACAGAACACATGTAGTTGCGGTCAGGCAGGAATCTGTTATAGTGGAGGTGTGCAACAATGACTCGCGCGCACGCACACACACACACACACACACACACACACACACACACACACACACACACACACACACACACACACACACACACACACACACACACACACACACACACACACACACACACACACACACACTCTAATAAGGCCACTAAGGCACTGAGCATGGCTGCAGATATCACAGGATTACATTCAGACAGAGCAGTGACTCAGTAATCATCCAGCTTCTGTGCATACACTCAAACAACTCTTTCTACAACTCAAGTAGAAAGACAGGAAAAGGAGGAAAGAAAGAGTAAAGGAAGAGTCTAAGCTCCACATTTAAACTGCACACAGTTTAGAGAGACGGTTAGGTTGGCACTAATGCAGGTTCACTTTAATAGACTTTAACAGACCACAGAACTTCCAGCAAAGCCAACCAACCTGTAATTTAACCAAAAACAGCGACTCTGCTATAATTAGCGTCTACTACATCAGAAACCAGAGACGAGGAAGAGATGCATGGGAAGGAGGGTTTGCTTTGAAATGTGAATAACCAGGGCCTTTAAGTAAAATGCTTTAGAAAAGTTCACAGTCAGACTGTGTGTGAGCAAGTGTGTTTTGTGTTTGTCGGGCCAGCTGTCAGTTCAGTGTGTCAGGCAGTAAGCTCTGGCTAAGACCCAAACTCTGGAACACAGCCAGACATGTGCAGTGCTCTCTGACTCCACTGTATCTACGTGTGTGTGTGTGTGTGTGTGTGTGTGTGTGTGTGTGTGTGTGTGTGTGTGTGTGTGTGTGTGTGTGTGTGTGTGTCTTTGACCTCCAGACTTAGCCCAATAGTCATAACCTGGAGGCAGGTCACATAACAGTCTCTGTATCTGCTGGTAAACACCATTCACAAACTGTTACAAACTAAAGGCATCACCAAATTTAAGTAATATCCAGGATGTCACAGGGAGATCATTTCAAAATAAGACCAGCTTTCAAAATAAATCTTAGGCAGAATTAACATCTAAAGCAAATTCTGAGAAGGCTAATTATCCATTGAGAAGTTATTCATTTTACAGCAGTTTATGGAAGCTTTTCCCACATGTCCAATTACTTTGGACTTTCCCATGAGAAGTACATGTAGCACTGAGCTGCGGGTTTTAAATACAGGTCAGCAAAGACGCTGTGACAGCATCAGTGAGTGATAGTACCAGCAAAATGCGTTCTTTTCCAGGCAGGAAATGACAGGGCGGGTTTGAATAACAGCTGTACCACACTGTGTTTTTATTGTTAAAATTCAAATTGAAAGAGCAGGTTGGCATTTGTAGCCCAGAGTGGTTAAATCAGCAAATCAAATATATCCAGGAAAACATATAATTCCACTTGAAATGAATAAATATCATTATTATACAAGTATTACAAATAGTATACATGCATAGGTTTGAAATACAAATAAAAAGATTATGTATCTTAACTGTATTTAAGATATTTGGTGCACCAGTAACTAAATTTACTGTTACTTGTGATTTTTTTATTATGCACCTTAACTGAAAAAGGTTTTACTAACAATATCAGCTCTCTGAACTAACTCATTTTGTCGGTTATAAATGAAATTGTGAAACTGAAGTGAGCTGCCTATGTTGGACAATAGAAATTAAGTTAATTTTCTTCATCTCTCTGAATATTTCCAAAACAGTAGAAGCCTGTCCCTCGCTGCTGAGATCAGTAGCTGCTGTACAGTATATTTGACACAGGTAACAACTACCTTCAAAACTAGGCCAAAACTGCAAACATTTCCTTAAAGACAATATGATGCAAATACTTGTGAATACTTGAAATGACATGCTGCTTCAACACAGCAGCCACAAGAGTTTCACCCATCAGTAACTGATATTGCCACTATCCAATAAATCAACTCTAGGGATTTTAGGGGAAATGCGTTTATATTTTTGGGAAAAAATAGAGGAAAAACATCAGTATCATCAAGTTGAAACAGACCATGCATGCCTATGCCATGCATAGGGGTGAACGGTGCAGACATATTAGACATTCAGGCGTCGGGCTGCTTTTCACTGCTGCTGAAACTCTAAAACTCCCTGCTTTGTCCTCAGTCGGATGAATGAAATTTAACTATAGCAGCTAGGCTGCAAGTGAACCCCATTACCCACCAAAACACACACACACACACACACACACACACACACACACACACACACACACACACACACACACACACACACACACACACACACACACACACACACACACACACACACACACACACACACACGAAGTGGGGCAATGCAAGCCAAACACAAATAGTGATTATGGGGGGCCTAGAAAGAATGTCCCTCCGCCTCCTTGTACCCTTCCCCCAAGCCCCTGACACCCCTTCACCATTTCATTCATCCTTTTTTCCAGGGCCTAGCTGAGGGCCAAACTGATACATAACCTAACAATCTTCCCATTAAATCTAAATGTTACACCATTCAGCTTCGTCTTATCAAGCTCACTTAAGTTCTGTAAGAGTCTCTGTAAACCTATTCAGCAGTTAGATTTACTTTCAAGGCAAAGTTGCTCTTAATTATGTCCTGATACAACAGATATTGCAATAACTTACTATATTTCACAACTTAGATGCATATTTTCATGATTTAAATATAAGACAAACAAATAAGTAAACCAACTGAATCACACCAATTCACACTCTTGAGTGTCTCCAGCTGAATGCGTGTTTGTGTGCGTCTGTATGTGTGTGAAAGAATAAGCCCTGGCTTTAGAGAGGTGAAAAGATAGTGAGGCGGAGGAGGAGGTGGGGAAGAGGGGGGGAATGAGGCAGTCGGAAAAAAAGAGCGTAGAGGTGCTCTTGTCTCAATAGGATGAAATGGAGGACAGGGTTTCTTTACACATGCCTACATATTTAATGTGTTGGCCTGGTGCTAGCTGATACTGGGGATGTGTTTTCTCGATTGTAGGGGGGGT